TGAGCTACTAAGAAGCTGATCTGTGAGATTTGCAAGAGCTCCCAAATCTGCTCTTTAAGTACTGCTAAACTGTTAAGCAAGCTAGCCTCCTCTGAAGGGCCAGTGAACAAACTGGCCTCTCTTTTTTTTTTAAAGGGGGTTTCTGGATTGACACTGCTTTGAAGTATGCGCATTGAAGGCAACAGTACTGTTGAACTGAAAGCGAACATCTAGACAAGCAAACATCTAGACAAGGTAGTAGACTGTTGGTGTGCTTGAGCAGTGCTGAAGAACTAATGCTTGGAGACTGGTATTACTGAGTTGGGTGTGAACGATGCCTTAATTTATGCTTTCTGCTACACTTTTAGCACTGGTTTCACTCAACTGGTTTGTAAACTGACTTAGTTCAATCTGTGCAATGCCCCAGGGTGGACACTCTTGTCTCAGATTAACAATGTACTGTTTCGATTTTGCTTAAATTGATTCCTTAGTAGTAGCAGAATCGATATAAGGCATCCAAACAAGAGTGTCTCTCACCAGGGGGTGGCACATGTTTAACTTCACAGCTGTGCTCAGACTGTGTGTAGAAAAAGCCCTTGCGTTTTGATTATCATGAAGAAATGCACTTGAACAACCTTATCTCTAAATTAGGGCTGTCGATTAATCACAGTTAACTCACGCAATTAACTCAAAAAATTTATCACGATTAAAAAAATTAATCGCAATTAATCGCAGTTTTAATTACACTGTTAAACAATAGAATTGCGATTGAAATTTATTAAATATTTTAGGATGTTTTTCTACATTTTCAAATATATTGATTTCTATTACAACACAGAATACGAAGTGTACAGCGCTCACTTTATATTATTTTTATTACAAATATTTGCACTGTAAAAATGATAACCAAAAGAAATAGTATTTTTCAGTTCACCTAATACAATGCAATCTCTTCATCAAGAAAGTGCAACTTCCAAATGTAGATTTTTTTTTGCTACATAACTGCATTCAAAAACAAAACAATGTAAAACTTTAGAGCCTACAAGTCCACTCAGTCCTACTTCTTGTTCAGCCAATCACTAAGACAAACAAGTTTGTTTACATTTACGGGAGATAATGATGCCGGCTTCTTATTTAAAATGTCACCTGAAAGTGAGAATAACATTCGTATACCTCTTCAAGCTTCGGACACCATTCCAGAGGACGTTTCCATGCTGCTGACGCTTGTTAAAAAATAATGCGTTAATTAAATTTGAGAATGAACTCCTTGGGGCACAATAGTATGTCTCCTGCTCTGTTTTACCCGCATTCTGCTATATATTTCATGTTATAACAATCTCGGATGATGACCCAGCACATGTTCGTTTCAAGAACACTTTCACTGCAGATTTGACAAAATGCAAAGAAGGTACCAATGTGAGATTTCTAAAACTAGCTATAGCACTCGACCCAAGGTTTAAGAATCTGAAGTGCCTTCCAAAATCTGAGAGGGACGAGATGTGGCGCTTGCTTTCAGAGGTTTTGAAAGAGAAGCACTCCGATGCAGAAACTACTGAACCCGAACCACCAAAAAAGAAAATCAACCTTCTCCTGGTGGCATCTGACTCAGATGATGAAAGTGAACATGCGTCGGTCTGCACTACTTTGGATCGTTATCGAGCAGAAACCCTCATTAGCATGGATGCATGTCCTTTGGAATGGTGGTTGAAACATGAAGAGACATATGAATCTTTAACGCATCTGGCATGTAAATATCTTGTGATGCCAACTACTACAGTGCCATGAGAACACCTGTTCTCACTTTCAGGTGACATTGTAAACAAGAAGCGGGCAGCATTATCTCCTGCAAATGTAAACAAACTTGTTTGTCTTAGTGACTGGCTGAACAAGAAGTAGGACTGAGTGGACTTGTAGGTGCTAAAGTTTTACACTGTTTTATTTTTGAATGCAGGGTTTTTTTGTACATAATTCTATATTTGTAAGTTCAACTTTCATGATAAAGAGATTGCACTACAGTACTTGTATGAGGTGAATTGAAAAATACTATTTTTTGTTTTTTATAGCACAAATATTTGTAATAAAAAATAAATATAAAGTGAGCACTGTACAATTTGTGTTCTGTGTTGTAATTGAAATCAAAAACTGGTATCTGAAATCAATATATTTGAAAATGTAGAAAATATACCAAAATATTTAAATAAATGGTATTCTATTATTGTTTAACAGTGCGATTAATCGCACAATTACTTTCTTTAATCGCTTGACAGCCCTACTCTAAATTAATGAAGCTTTTCTGGAAATGTAATAAGACACAAAGGAGTGTTCATTCTTGGACCATCAAAACATTACAGTATTCAGGTTACTGACAGTACTCATTCTTCTGACTCATGCTTCACTATGTGCCTCAAGGAGTACATCAATGGCCTGGGTAATTGCTCAAATAGTCAACTATAGTAGCCAACTGCCCCATTTGGCCAGGACTGCTCAGGTTTTTAAATTCTGTCCTGGGTGTTAGCCGTCCTCAGTCCCAGACCGCTGGCTGAACTATCTAGTGAAGAAAAATACTAATTCCTGCTCCTAACAACTGCTTTCAAGAGTGAGCAGCAGGCTTCCTGTGCGTGCACACACACCTCCCTGAGCAGGCAGCCAGACCGAAGAGCAAAATGAAAGTCCAACCTCCACAAAAAGACAGATAGTCAAGGAGGTCAAAAGTGGGGGGCAGCCACTAAGACCCCAGATTCAGCTTATTTGGAAATATTTAAATAGTGACAGCTATGTGGCTAATAGCATCCAATATTCTGAATACGTTTACTGCAATTAAAATTATTCCACCTGTTATTCCTTTTAACATGATCATTGGTGCCATCTTAGTTCCCTATACAAGCTCACCAATGCAGAGACCATCTTTTCCTTAAGTGTGCACATAGTACAATGGAGCCCTAAATCCCAATTAGGAGCTGCAAATACTAGTACAACATAAATTAATAGTGATAGTGATACTAAATAGTACTTTAATTATGCTAACTTTTTATTTCATCTGTCTCTTATATTGACAATCTAAAAGTTTATATTTCACTAGAAGTTTTACAACTAGTTTTGTCAGAAAAAGATATAATATGATTTAATGAGTAATCTAATTCTTGAAACTTGAGAAAAATCTGTCTCCATATACAGTTATTAGAGAAATCTACCTACTTGATACTTTGGATTGAAAAATGTTCTCACAATTCCTATTTCCACATGCATTTTACCAGTTCCTAATATTTTTATTTTTAAAATATTCCATTACAGTAGCTCCACAAAGCTCAGCCCAAGAAACTGACAGGGCTAAATATTTTGGAAGTTATCTCTACATTCCTATTCTATTGACAAAATAATTGTAACAAAACACAAAGAAAAGAAAAAAAAGCAAAGCATTATAAGAAAACCATCCACAAAACCTGTCATAAAATAAAAAAATAAATCTTGCTGCACGAACTTTAACAGATATTTGCATTCTGTAGCACAAAAAACTGAAAAAAAAACATGACAAATTACAATTCAAACAAGTTACAATTGCTTCTTCCAACAAAGAATAAAGCACTTATATTTCCATAACTGGCTTTCAAATTTTATCTAAATAAATGTCAATAAAATTTTACAATATGACTTTTTTCCCAAACATATAATTGTCTTCCATGCTAACCAAACTACACAAAGCCCCTGCTTTGAGGCTAGAGTCAATAAAAAGCTTCGGCAGTCTTGTATGAGCTTCTGATTTGAAAAAAACATTAAAAAATTTAAAGAGGATCCCTAGAGTGCCTTTTGAAATAAAATCAGATTAATTATTGGTTCTCAACACAAATTTATACCAGTCTGGAAAACAAAGAACAAATGGAGTTACATGACAACATAATTTCCTAGGAAAAATGCATTTATTGAAATTTTCTGTCAGATCTCTTTTCAATCTATGGATTTGACAAAAAAACATTAAACACTCCCAGAAGATGACAAAAGTCCAAAGAGAGAAAAGAAATCCCTCTTTGGAAAACTTAGAACTACTTTTTACTATCTATCTTAACATTTTGATGGAGGAACAAAAATGGTTGCTTTTTACTTTCAATGCAAACGCTTACTCCAAGATTTAAAAATTTCATTTGAGATGATTAAATAATAGTGAGTATATTTCCATTATTTCTTGGAGGGAAACCAAGAGGCTCTGTCCTCTGGTCAGGCAGCAGACAGACTTAGCATTCACATCAAAACCCAAACAGAGGCTTTTCAAACAGTTCTGTTGAATTCTGAAATCTAATTGTCAAAAACTGAGTTTTTGGCAAGATGAATCCTTCATTACTCTTGCTGTGCATTAACAAAGGATTTTTTCCAGGCAACTTAATATCCAAAGGATCAGCAAGCTTTCCATAGCATAGACAGATGATACCAGTATTTAAATTTGCATTCCAGTGGCCCAGCCAAGCAATCAGCAACCTACAGTTGCTGTAGGGAAACACAGAGGATATGGGACGCAGATCCTCAGCTGAGGGCTGAGTTCCTTGGGCTGGCAAGACTTGGAGACTGCTATGGAGGCAGCACACTTATCCCCAAGAAGAGGGAATGCATTGAATGATGCTCTAGTGAACTTCTCCCCATGAATGGGTGTTTACATACTCCAAAGGGAGCCAAGACTACTTCTCTATGGCCAGAAGGGTGGGCCAAGCCTGATACAATAACAGTAAAAGACGGAGAGGACTGCAGAGGAACTACACCTCTATCTCGATATAACGCTGTCCTCGGGAGCCAAAAAATCTTACCGCGTTATAGGTGAAACCGCGTTATATCGAACTTGCTTTGATCCACCGGAGTGCACAGCCCCGCCCCCCCGGAGCACTGCTTTACCGTATTATATCCAAATTTGTGTTATATTGAGTCGCGTTATATCGAGGTACCGGTGTACCTTAAAAAAAACACATTTAAAAGCACCTACTGAACTTGAAATGTGCTGAAGAGGAAAACAAAATGTCAAGCAAAGGAAGCAATCTTACCAATATACAACATCCAGTGGTGCAAAGTACTTTTTCATAATTAAGTCAGCAAAGTAAGCTTCTGTCTCCCTGCAGGCAGTCCCATTGCCTATCACAACAGTGCTGCAGCTTTAAAGGAGATAAAGCATAAACATTCAGTTTCCTGCATAGTTAGGGATGTGTAGTAATTTCATTTTATGTAATAGGTAAAGGCTGTACTCAACAAGAACATGTCGCCATCTTCCACACATAGGAAGATCTTAGAACCCTGTAGACATCAGCACCTCAGCATGAACCAGGCTGATTAGCCAAGAGTTAAGCTGCACAACACACACACTGTGGCATATTACAAAAGTGTGTCTTGCTGCATGTACAACAGCAAAGAAACCTTTAAGTGGCTCTAGTAGTAAGACTTTTCAAGGGCTTGAGGCATGTATGGGGGAAGGGACTGACTGTCTGAAGGTTTGAGTGCATTGTGATGTTGTGAGTGGCGAGAGTGATAATTTTCACATATCCCTTATAGAAGTGAACAGGAATCCTAACCACAGGAAACTCAAGGGCTGTAATACATCATTCATGACTCTCCTTGGCTGTCTTCATGTTAAATCATTTTATCGCACAGACAGGAAAATCCTTCCCCGTGCAAAATGGCTTCTATTGAATTGAACAGAAGCTAAAATAAAGAAAAACTCATTTTGGAAGCTCACTCAGTGGAATAACACTGGATGGAACCGCCTCAAAAATAGTACAGTAAGGGCCAGAGCTACCAATAATCCCAGGCTATCAACAGGTACGCATGAGTGTTTAACATCAAACTCCTAATCCCTAGTGAACAACGTCCCACAACCCAAAACTATCCCCAAATTTAATACAAGTAGCAATAGCTGTTCATAAAAGCTCCCAAAATAGACTAGCATGGGTGCTGCACAGTAGGAATAAGATGAATTGGCACACCTTTGCAAATACATTTCCATAGCATCTAATTTGTAAACTAACTATATTCACTGCTTGATTTCATAAGCATCTAATACATACAATGTTTTAAAACATGAACATAAATTGAGCAACATTCAGCCGTCAGCCATGAAAGCAGAAATTCCACTAAATCTCTGGGCATCGTGCTTGTATATCCAATTTTGATACAATGTAGATATTTATCCTATTTATATTTTAACGAAAGCTTCATCATCATACTTGTAATGCAGAAGAAGTCTCCTTATCTTTTCAGCTTCACGGAATCCTTGTCCAGAATGCAAGTAGACAACATCAGTATGGAGTATCTGACCTAGAATGAGGAAAGGCAAAACCATTCAGTTAGAAACAGAAAATTCCAAACGGTATTTCCTGATGAACTACCTAGGTGAAGGGCTGATTCACAAGAAAAACATTTCAATAATTATCCTCCATTTTCTTATATATTGTGTACAACGGGGTTCACTGCCAGAATGAAATGAGTTGATAGATTGCCTAGCTCCTAGTAAACATGTCCACATAACACACAACCAGCACCAATCAGCATCACTGTTTGTATTCAGCAAATATTTTGTGATTAGAAAAAATGGTTCCATGGGGCAGGAAGGGTTTATTGCTGTAATCTGTACATTTTAAAGATCTGCTTAGAGAGAGGTGTGATCTAGTGGTCTGAGTACAGACCTAGGGCTAGTCTACACTACCCACCCGGATCAGCGGGTAGAAATCGATCTCTCGGGGATCGATTTATCGCGTCTCATCTAGACGGATAAATCGATCCCCAAATCGACGCGCATACTCCCACCTCGTCAGGAGGAGTAAGCGCTGTCAACGGGGGAGCCGCGGCGGTCCATTTGCCACCGTCCTCACAGTGGGGTAAGTTGAATAGGATACGTCTAATTCAGCTACGCTATTCGCGTAGCTGAATTTGCGTATTTTAAATCGATTCCCCCTACCCCCCCCCCCCAGTGTAGACCTAGCCCTAGAAGACAGAATGCCTAAATTCTAATTCCAGCTCTAACAGAAACTCCCTCTGTTGGCTTTGGCAAGTCACTATGCCTCCCTGCAAAGTGGGGAGGGGATAATATTAATGGACAGATTAACAACATACCCTTGCATTTGTGAATACAGGCTCCACATTGCTGCCATGGGCATCAGTTTCCACTGAAGAATTCAGAGTGTCTACTATAGCACATATCCAGAGACTGAGGTTTTGTTTAGACAGTGAGGTAATGTGCTCTATGTAGGTTGGATTTCTAAAGCATACTAACTGGTCCATTTAGACCCTGTTCATGTGCTTCATCGTAGTGCTGTTTTAAACAGAACTAAGTTAAAGCACACTAGGGAACCTTTAGTGCACACCAGCAGGGTCTACACAGACCAATTCATGTGCAGCACATCAGCATGCCCTAGAAATCACATCCCCGTAGAGCATGTTACCCCTCCAAATAAACAAGTCCAGACACTGTTAATTCTTTGAATTCTGCTTCTCTCACCTAGATTAGAAAGAACTAATAGAACACTGATCACAATGATTTACTCCTCCCAGCTCAGCAACAGACATCAGAGTTCCTGAATTCCTCTATCTCACTGGCCCCCATCTGCTCTGTGCTGAAAGATGTAGGGGTGGAAGGCTAGTTATTGTTGAGGGCACTGGACTAGGACTCATGAGACATGAGTTCGATTCCAGGTTTGGCCACAGATTTCTTCTGTGATCATAAGCAAGTCACTTAGTGACAAGTGCCTCGGCTCCCCTCTGTAAAATAAGATTAATACTTTCCCACATCACAAGGGTGCTGGGAGGATAAATCCATCAGTAATTGTTCAGGCTAACATTTTGGTGGATCTGGGCTCCTTTCATTTTTACTACGCCTTGCTAAGAACACTTATTTACTTATTTCACAAAAGTCTTATGAGAACAGTAAATATTTGTAAAGCACTTAAAAGATACAAACAGCATATTCTTATTTCTGCAATTGACCATCCCCTTTTTAAAAAAATGAAAAGTATCCATAATGTTTTGGTTTTATGTTATAACCAAGTTTTCTGCATCTTTTCATTTTCATTTGGCAACTACTGGCCCAAAATGAGGATTTAAAGACTTTTTAACACCTAGTTAAGCAATACAACTAGCTTTGCACTGGTCAAACGTGTCCCCCCTTTAGGCAGAATTTAAGCAAATGCTGTCCCAGTTAAGGAGTCACTACTATTCACTACCAAGCTAAATTGTAAGTTCTCTAAGAGATATGAATATAAAATGGCCACCCCAATTAAGCATGCCTTTTTTTAAGTTAGTTATTCTTCATTGTACTTAAATACAGCAGCCTTATTTGAATATACAGTGTGTGAGAGACTATTCCCTGTACTATGTGCTGTGAAAGAGATTAAATTAGAGAGAATGCTGGATTGGGTACTTTGGAAGGCCGTCAGGAAACTTTATACAGAAAATTGAGGAAACGTAAGTCTGTAACTCTTAAAAATCAGACAACTAATAAGCAAGCTCATTGAGATATAAAACAATATGAAGAAAATAAATCTGAAGGCATTATAAAAACTTATACATTATTTGAGCCTTGTATTTTGGCAATATGGGGTTAATTCAACACCAAAGCCATTATTACTTCCTCAAAACAACAGTCTAGCAAAAAAAAAATTGGAAAGTGTAATTTCCATTTTCACAAAAATCTATGCTGAAAACAAAAGAGAAAATTATGTCTGTGAAAAACAGCTGTGAAGATTGTTTTTAAATCAAGTGTCACTAGCTTGCAAAAAAGGCCTATTTCCTGTGATCCATAATTGGTTGTTTTTTTTAAACAAAGACTGTAAAATGCATAAACATCCACAAGTTTTACAAGGTTTCTCTTAATAGCCTGTTTGATTATCATAAAAAGCAGCGTACTTTACATTTTATCCAAACCACAGCAGGTGTGGCTCAATGTTTTATTTCACTGAAGAATTGACAAAATACTTGTACAGTTTCCAGATGCACATGTTATGGCCATCAAGGAGTTACAGAATGCAGAGGTTTTTTTGTTTTGTTTGCTTATTTTGGGGTTTTGTGGGTATTTTTAAAGAAAACTACATATTGTAAAATGTCAGTTTGACATGTTGAGGAGAGATACAGATTTGCTGTGGTCTCACCATTTTTAATATATTTCAGCTGCTGAATACATAACCAGTGCGGAAGGGGTAGGGAAAAGGCGGCTAAATAAACCATAAAAGGATAGACTTTATATGGAAATGTTTTTCTGTCCTTCAACAGAGAAACACAAACATTACAAGACAATAGGACAATGGGTAAAATTTTATTATGTGTAAGTGACTTAGCCTAAGACTCACTGCAAGTCAATGGGATTTAGGCTTCTATGTCTACACTACAGCCTATGTCAGCAAAACTTTTGTCCCTTAGGGGTGTGAACATTCCACTCCCGTGACTGACATAAATTACACCAGCATAAGTGCTCGTGTTCACAGCACTATGTCGGCAGGAGAGCTTCTCCCGCTGACATAGCTTATGCTGATCCCAGAGGTGGCTTTTTTATGCCAATGGAAGAGCTCTCTCCCATCAGCATAGAGCATCTTTACCAGATGTGCTGCATGTATAGACATGGCTTTAGGCTCCTCAGTGACTTTTGAAAATGAACTTAGGCATTTTAGACCAATGACTTCATATGAATCAAACAAAATGTATTATAGATACTCTGCTTCAAACCATAAGGAACTCTGTAAACAAGGCCAGAATCACTAGGAACTGACTGGGTAGTTAGCAAATGTAAGAAAAAACTACAAACAACTTTTATTAACTAGAGAGGTGGAGAAGTACCTACATGATAAAACACACGCCATTACACCTGATAGCTTTTTTTTGAAGTTTCACAAAGAAGGCAAGGACAGGATGGGAGGAGAAAGTGACAAACCTTTTCACACCCTTACAGGGGTAAACCTCCAGACCTAATTAAGCCACACTAGGGAGATTTCCCCTGCAGCTGCCTAAAAGCTGCACCTGTTCACCAGAGAACTTCAGATTTCCAGCGCTGCTGGGTCCTGCACCTTCTATAAGTGCCAGTTTACTTTAAAATATGCAATATTAAAGAAAAACAAGCAGCGAAGAAGTCAATTTCCAAGTGTGTAAACAGGTTATTTGTGTGGGGGGGAAATTAAGAAGCAAGTATTCAAAAGCTGATTCCATTTTAAGCTGTAATACATTAAGAGTCTGATTCCTAACTACTGTGTTTTAATTATTCACAACTGTGTGATGAGAGTGCAAAACTGTTCATTCCCACTTTGCACAGGTGAAAATGACTAGACAAGAGAGTGGAGACTCAGGCCCGTAACATTTAATCCCATGCTACTAAAGGAATTTGCAGGGTAAGTTACATGCAAACATGAAAGACTAAATCATAACAGAAAATAGATACCCTCCAAAAGTATACTGTATAACAACTAGCTTTTACTGTAATTCAGTAAATTTCAAAAGTTAAACAGTGTTTTAAAAGCTGATAGAAAAATTTGGAATTTAAACTTACTGGTTGGCGAAATGATTGCCAGCTTGCAGCCATGTTTGTACCCAGGATCAACTCCCATCAAAATACGTCCTCTCACAGGGTTCGTCAGAAGCAACTGTCGAAGATTTCTTCCAAACATCATTATAGATTCTTTCTCTGCGTCAGACGTTAACTTTGATCTTAGAGGATAGAAAGCAAAAAGAGGGTTTTTTTCCAGTTAGTTTTCAGACACATTTTTTAGTTGGTTCAAAGTACATGCTTTTTGGAGCATTTCTGATTATTTCTTTGTTATGGTCCACTACGCTATGGATCTCGAGTTTTTGGTACATTTACTTTAACAGGAATAGTATATGAAAAATTGGTTGTAGTCCTAAGAAAGTAGCATCAGTAACTGGCTTGCAGTTACAGTTACCCATAAGTTGTGTAAAGTCTGCACAGACTCCTTTCTGCCTTATTTTCACACATCCACTATTACATTTTTGAATAGACAGCAGTGTCTACTCAAAGCTGGGTTTCTACTTGCAGGGGAATGGTATTCTGATTCTCATCAGACCGGCCTTGAGAAACACCTACGCTGAATCCAGCTTCTAATGTAAACCTGCAGAGACTGGGATAATTTCCTAGTTACTGAGAAAATTACTACCAAGCAGAATTGGTTTAAGCCACTAAGACTGAAATGGACTAGATAGCCTGATAAGTCATTTCTATTTGTAATTGCTAAATTACTATAATTCACTAGATAGCCCGTCTGGTTCATGAGTTACAGTATTTCACAACTGTATTTGAAACTGGTGACTTGATAAACAATTGCAGATGCAAAATAATAACAGTGTAGTTGATGTGTTTCCACATTTGTTTGTGTGGATGTAGGCAAAGCAGAAATTCATAGATACAAAACGTTCTCTATTTTTTTTCCCCTCTTCCATGATCTTTGACAGGAAAAATAAATATGCCACTGAAGACCAAGGAATGAGTTCTGTAACTTTCGCACCATTTATTAAAAATATCCTTGTTTATCTGAGACAAATGTGTATTTTTGCTAGGTGTAAGTATGCGCCTTGTATGTCAACAGCAGCCAAGAAGAGAATGTCTGATAACAACAAAATGTCTTAGTTGTTTACACTTATTAAGGAATAAAAAAGTTTATTAAACAAAAAGAATCTTTAGTATTCAGCAGTTTCCTCTCTCTTTGCATATGCACACATCCATGCACCATCTGTGTAATGTGATCAGTTATTAGGATAATTAAGGAAGTCATGATGAGTCAGATAGTAACTAACACTGTAAGCCTGCATATAACTTTAAAACTACCCACACTTTTCCCCCCAGGAATGTGTGTCTTTTTGGTCAGTCAAAAAGGAACCCTTTTCTGTACATTAATGTACCACTGAAACAATACCTAAGATTATCATAAATGAAAAACTAGCGGAAATAATTCTTTATAGTTTTTCTATACAATTAATTCTCTATGCAAATATATAAACATTCTCATTTACACATAAATTTATTTTGTGTTTGATAGTATTTTATGTATAGTCAGATCCATTGCTTCCCAAAGAGCCAGTCTGTTTCCAGTTTGGGAACGTCTTTACATAGAGCAACTATGAGGAGAAAAGACATTTTTAAAAGATAGGAAAATATGACTAAAACCACAACTACTGGCACCCGGACTCGTGGACATATGTACAATGTGAAACTACTTTTAACTCCAATTTTTGAAAAACAGACTAGATTACAAGTTGGTGACATCCCTTCAACACTCAAAGACATAACCACCCACGTTTTCCTTCACACATTGCTTTCAAAGCATTTCTATGGAAAGGCATCCTTCATGCAAAAGAAAGAAACCCCCTCTGGAATTGTTTCTGAATGAAGAACACAAAATTAGCATAGATATTATCTAAAGGGAGATCATGAAAAGTACACAAAATTTACATGCATTCCCTAGGCTGCCCTAGTATTTCAAAAGTAGACCAATAGCAGACTCCATTGAGTAGAAGAAGGAATCACCCCCAGGTAGCAGAATGGCTGTGCTGTAGCAGCCACCACTGAACACAACAGCAGAAGCAGTCGCTGCCTCTGCCATGGTGTGTAGACGTGAAGACTGGAGAATCTGCACAAAGGAAGATCCTCTGGCCCTGGCTTTCCTCTATCCCCCAAAAGTGGTTTCTATATCACGCACAGGACATCCACTCCCCACATGCAGCTCAATCTACCAGTTCTACTACAACGGGGACCTGTGCAGGAACTGGATTTACCCCTAGCCACATGTTATTAGTTTTGTACACTTTATGGAAACATGTTTAAAGTTGGCTTGGATTTAAGAAACTTTTATAGTAACAGGAAATGGTACTGAAAGTGCCAGGTGTGTGAAGACTATAACGTATGTCCTTTCTATTACTTAATATCCTGTATTTTTAATTTCAAATATAGACCTTTCTTTTTCTTTCTACCTGCTTCTCATTCAACATGTGTATCAGTGATATGACCCACCACCCCAAGTGCTGGCCCTCAATTTTAAATTTTGGATAGTCATTTAATCCTTTATGAAACTGTCCCAGGTAGCCTGACATTTATTTTCTCTTTATGTTCTCAGGGCACCACTGTGCGTCAAAAATGATAAAATGCCTAGCTTTGTATTGTTCTAATTTCTGGTAATTCTTATTAATAAGGTTTGGGGGAGGAGGGGATCCCTCGTAAACATAAGAACATTGATTATTTTGAAAATAAATATTCTCATTTGCCATTTTATGAAAAATAAAATAATTTATCAAACGATTTAACATATCATTTCAAATTTACTAGGATGATTACAGTAAAACAAATATAAAGAATATGGAGATTCCTTTAATTTTCTTCTGCATTTGAAACTCAAAATTGCATTCAGTCATCAGATTGCCAAGATAAGTATTTAATAAGGGCAATTATCCTAATCTTGGCCGACTGACATCTGGAGTCACAGCTGGAAGATAAGGGTTCTAAAGTTTGGACTCCATTTCCAACTCCAACTTTCATATGCAAAGCACAAGCAATATTTTCTGTGGGAACTTCAGGTGTGAAATGAGATGTATAGGGGAAAAAATGTCTATGAAGAACAGTGAGGGAAAGAACTCCAACGCTTTTTGAGAGAGTATGGAAAATTAGGAAAGAATTATACATTTAAAAAAATATTTCTTCATCTCATCACTTGTGTTGAAACCCTATGAAATTATTCCATGCAGGACTGCAACAAAATAAAATGTATTCTGAAGAGCCAAAAGTATTACTGGACATTATTATACCAGGTCTGAGCAATCATAGTATCTGACAGGAAGGAAAGTAGAAGACAGGAAATGAAACAATAAATAAGGTAATTGTCTTGCTGGCAAGTTCTCTCCTCCTCATCACTAGGAGTAAAAGTTTCAATACACTCTTCAAAACGTTCTGCTCCAACGCTTATTAATAAAAAAAAGTTAGAGACGTTAACACTAAAAGGAGGTTTTAAAATACTTTAGCAGCCCTGTGCAAGACTCCAAAGAAAAACTTCTGGTGAGAAAAGAGAGAGGATAAAAAAGGAGAGCAGTTAAGTGGTCACAAAAGTGAGAAACTGATTGCTCACTGTCTTGAGCCAGGAATACTATTGGCAGGTGCCGTACATTCTTCCCCATAGGAGTTCAGTTTCAGCACTCATCCCATATTATTCCACTTCCAGGCCTTTCCTAATTGGAAACGGCCAATTATGCCAGATTTTCCCAAACAGTAAGATATGGACAAACATCCATTCAGGAACAAAGTATTTCACTTATTTCACTTATGACCTAAACGCAGACTTAACCTGATCCAGAGTTTATTTGTTTTATTTTAAAAAAGCAAAACAAAAAATTGCACTAACCCACTGTTGCAGCAAACTTCACGTTATAAATTGTTGATGAAGATTTCATTGAAGGTGCTGGTTTGGTGAAAAAAGTATATTCCTGTATGTTTATCTGGAGTGTGTGTGTTATGGCTGTTTTTGCAACTCAAAGTGGATTTTCACATCAATATTATTCTTAACCTAATGTATAGGGCCCTACCAAATTCACGGTCCATTTTGGTCAAGTTCACGGCCATAGGATTTTAAAAATAGTAAATTTCATGATTTCAGCTATTTAAATCTGAAATGTCACAGTGTTGTAATTGTAGGGGCCCTGACCCAAAAAAGGAGTTGTGTGTGGGAGGGGTGGTAACAAGGTTATTGGGGGGGGGGGGCGGAGGGGGTTGCAGTACTGCTACCCTTACTTCTGTGCTGCTGCTGGCAGCGGTGCTGCCTTCCGAGCTGGGCAGCTGGAGAGCGGCGGCTGCAGGCCCCAGAGTTCAGCTCTGAAGGCAGAGCTGCCACCAGCAGCAGCGCAGAAGTAAGGATGGCATGGTATGGTATTGCCACCTTTACTTCTGCACTGCTACCTACAGAGCTGGGCCCTCAGCCCCCACTCTCTGGCCGCCCAGCTCTGAAGGTGGCAGCGCAGAAGTGGTGGCTGTTGGCCACACACCCAGCTCTGAAGGCAGTGCCCTGCCAGCAGCAGCACAGAAGTAAGGGTGGCAACACCATGACCCCCCTGCAACTCCCTTTTGGGTCAGGACCTCTAATTTGAGAAACGCTGGTCTCTCCTGTGAAATCTGTATAGTATTGGGTAAAAGCACACAAAAGACCAGATACCACGGAGAGGAGACCAGATTTCACAGTCCGGGATGCGTTTTGCATGTGAATTGGTAGGGCCCTACTAATGTATTAACTGTAAGAGTCATAGAGTATTTATGACACTTACCACAACTAACCAATATTTTTGTCATGCGTTTTGTATAAGGGTTATATTTACTCTAGCAACCTTAACTTGAAGTTAAATTTGAAGGAGGTTCAGGGGAAAGTGGAGAAGAGGAATGGACCATGACACCTTCTATAAGCCTGGTTGACTTATAACCCACCACAAAACATGATCAGCTCAGATGAAAGTTTAAGTGCAGCTGGATCTTGACAACTGGATCTAGTGTCATCTCAACCTCACCGCTGCCTACACCTGCAAAGAAGAGTGGGAGATAAGCTAAAGGAAAAGCCCTCACATATCTAGGAGGGAAAAGGGACATAGTTTCCCGCTCTCTCAGAAGCGGTCTAGGGAGTTTAGGGAGGGAGAGACAGACAAGTGAATGTGGCCAATTATGCTTTCAGGGGAATACCTCAATCCTTTCCCCATCTCAGCTCTCGATCATAGGATATGTGAAATTCTGTCCTACCAGTTTGCAGTTACCAAGCAAATTCACAAGTCCACTTTTAAAGCTTTACATGTATCGCTTTACAAACCTTTAAATGCCAAATTTAACCTTCAGATACGCTTTCACGTGCCGTCCATTCACTATAAGGAGAGTCAAATGGGCATCTCGGACTACAACTTGCCCCTATATAACCAAGCCTCATAAGAAACCCTTTGAGTACAATTAATCCCATTTTACAGATGAGGAAACAAACAGGGAAGTTACATGATTCACCCAAGGTCACAGAGTAAATCAGTGTCAAAGTGGGGAACAGACCCCAGAAATCCCAACTCTCAGGCCTTGTCTACATTGGGTAGGGTTGCCAACTTTCTGATTGCAGAAAACCAGTTACCCTTGCTTTGCCCATCCCCTGCCCCGAAGCCCCGCCCCAGCCCCTAACCCCCACCCCTGCTCACTCCATCCCCGCTTCCTCCGTTGCTCACTCTCTCCCACCCTTACTCACTCACTCATTTTCACTGAGCTGGGGCAGTGGTTGGGGTGCAGGTGAGGGTGAGGGCTCCAGCTGGAGGTGCGGACTCTGAGGTAGGGCCGGGGATGAGAGGTTTGAGGTGCAGGAGGGGGTTCTGGGCTGGAGGATGGGGCTGAGAGGTTCAGAGTGTGGGAGGAGGCTCCCGTCAGGGGCAGGGGGCTGGGGTGTGTGTGGGGGTGAGAGCTCCAACTGGGGGTGCAGGCTCTGGGGTGGGGCCGGGGCTGAGGGGTTTGGAGTACAGGAGAGGATTCAGGGCTCGGGCATGTGTCCTGATTACAGTTATAGGTGGCCAGCCACAGATGCTGCAGCGACACAACCCCATAGTGTACATGGGGGAAGGCAAGATATGATATGATTTGCACCAGTGCAGCTTATCCTGATTCCAAGCAAGGGGGAGCTGTAGCAGTGCAAACCCTGGCTTTCCCCATCTGCACCAAGGGCTGCACCAATGGGTAAAATCCAAGGCCAGAGAAGGCCCCAGTCACACATTAGATTCTGTAGCAAGGAATGATGCAAATTAAGCCCAACATGGCAGCCTAACTATGAAGTGATCTACTTCGGGGACTTAAGTCAGTCACACTAGAGTCTACTTATGTAGTTAACTCCCACCCATCAATGGCAAAATAGATTCAAATGCTACCAAGTTTTGAATTTTAAATTTCCTGTTTATTTATACAGTATTATATATCTTGCATGTGACACTTCATCTCATGACACAGCTATTACAGTGTCACTGAAAATAAGACTATTTTCCAGAGACATCACAATACCCATAGTACAGTATCAAAACAACATTATGACTACTATATTTATCATGTAGTGGAGATGACAAATATAAGGGCCACTTCCAGCAAGAGCAATTACTTTGTCAGTTTCTTTCAGACAGGTAAGAGAAATGGAGTCAGAACAATGTCAGTGACAGCATTATTGCAATGGCAATTGTGTAACGGAAACAACAGATGTCTAGGACAATTTCAGAGACAAAGGTTTATTGTTAAGATGATGATAATGATGTGTTTATAATATTGTAATGTAAACTCTAAACTGTACTTGTTAGGTAAAAATATTATGAAAAGTACAGCCAACATATGAAATAGGGTTCTTTCTTTCCTCACGAAGTTGAGTTATTGACCATTTTAAATACTTTTTCTCCAATTAAAATTAATAGGAATAAAATGCCTATAAAATGTCAATTTAAAAAAAATTAGGATTACAGATTATTAAAAATGTCTGATAGTGCACGTCACAATAAAGTATGTCTTAGTAATATAAACAATATAATGCAAGTCAAAAATTTTCTCTTTCTGCATAGACCACTTGTTTACCTACACTAACCTGAATGCGGTTGAAAACTGAATCTTGAGAATTGAGATTGATAATTCATCTCTTTTAGATTATTTCAGGCTACACTGAACATTATTAATTTTTACTTGGCTGAATGATACACACTAAATCCTACATGGTAACAGGTTTTGTGAAAACAAACAGTGCAGTGTTTACCTGAATTCTCTACAGAGGAGAGGATAAATAAGACGTTTATATGAATCTTCCACCGAATTATGCAATAACTTCATTAACTCTGGTTTTGCATAGCGTTTTGGTCTCCACCTGTACAAAAAAACAAAAAGGGCAGCATTAAACACTTCCTCCACACCGAATCATAAATGTAGAGCTGGAATGGACTTCAAGAGGTCATTTAGTCCAGCCTCCCTGCGCTGAGGCAGAACAAGGATACCTAGATCATCCCTGACAGGTGTTTGTCTAATCTGTTCTTTAAAACCTTCAATAACGGGGATTCAAAAACCTCTCTGTTCCAGTGACTAACTATCCTTATAGTTAGAAAGTTGTTCCTAAAATTCCTTGCTGCAAACTAAGCTGATTATTTCTTGTCCTACCCTCAGTATGGAAGATCCCCTCGAGATAAGAAAGAAGAAGCTTCCATAGTTAGAGAGAGAAAAAATAAAGACCAAAACAATTCTTGAATATGTATTGCTTCAGCATAATGTTCTATAAATGCCAGTATTACTGCACCAATGCTGCTGTAAAGTTATATCTTCAATAGTGAATTGAAGAAGGCACAGTAACTTGGCACAGGCTTTTACTGTCAGAAAAGGTGAGGGGACTATGGACTTTTAGGGAACTGATATTTCCGACTGTCTTCATTTTAAAGAAAATACTACAAAAATAAATTAAAACTTCCCTCCCACTTGGACTGAAAAGAAAAAAGAACCTGTCAAACTTCATCCCAAATGTATGAATAAATCAGTTTTACATTTCCATTATATGCACCTCATTTACAATTCCCCACTGCCTCAAATGTGACAAAGCATTTCCTGCAGAGGCCACTATTGAGTTATGGACGTGAATAGAGGGCAGCTAGTTAAGGAAGGCAATGAAGGTCATATAAAAGTTGAAGTGCTGAACTACAGACAGCTAAGGGAAAACAAATACAAAATTGAGTTAAAACATTTTCTTAACATCTCTATGAGTGAAAACAGTCTATTTGTTTTGGAACAGCAAAAAAGCAAACATGTACCCATTACATGCATTTTCTTTTTGTTCTGTTAATGATATGCTTAAATTATACACCAAATTCCAGAGACTAGCAAAATCTCATTCAAACATAATCTCCCAGAATTTTGTACGCCATGCTCATCTTGTACCTTTTCTACTCTGGTGCAACTGTGTGGATAGACAAGGCTCTGTTAAGATTTGCTACAAGACATCAACCCAAGCCACAGAAGTCAGATCTGAATTTCAAGCTTCCCCAAAATTCAGGTGTGATCAGATCCAAGGTTTTGGTTCTCACCAAGCTATTTTCTGAGTAGCAAGAACCCATGCGATCACCTACCAGATACAAGAGAATTAAAGTTGTCCACTGAGCAGGTAAGAGAGACATGGCAGGATTTATTGTTCTCTCTCTCTCTATCTGGAAACATTTGAGTACATTTCAGAAAGCTGTTTTTAACAACATGAAAGAGTTGTGGCCATTTGAAAATCTGTCCAGCCGTGTGCGCAGTTGAAAATTATGCTAATTTTTAAAAGATATAGAGTATTAATCTTGTCTGTACTGCACTTACATGTACAGATAATTTAGAAAGATCCAAGATTCTCTGAAACAGCCCAGACAAATTTTCAGTTGTTTAAGGAATTATCTCCTGAAATGGATTCTCTTCTTATGTATTTATATTTGAGTAGTAGTATGTGATCATCTAATTAAACACCATACCTTGATGCATACATACAAGGGGAGTTAAAGATTACATGAGGACCTTGTTTTACCATTTCATTACTTTTGAGAGCTTAGCCATATGACCTTAACATTAACAATTTTTAGCAACAATTTTATTATACTTTGTTGTAGAGAGGATTTTCTGGTATACACATAAAACGAGAGCAGGGTTTCCTTTGCTCTCGTTACTACCCAATCCTATTACCAGAAATGTGTACAGGTGGTAAAACTGACTATACTGATGGAGATAGTAATGCATTTGGACAGCAGACATCAGCTTCCCTCTCTCTCTTGTTAAGGCTGATTAGTAGATCTCTTATCCACAAATAGCTCATCACAGCAGATATTTTTGACTGCATGCCACCTACGTATGACTAATAAAATGATTTTGTGATATTCAGTGAGAAGTCCTATAAATATTACAGCACCATATTGTACAATTCGTCATGAAACTAAAAACATCCAGAAGACGTATTCAATAAACAGCCTGTGAATAAATAGCATGTTTTTTAACCCACACACATATTCCATTACTTGTGGGGGGAGAGAGGGAAATAAAGTTTAACAATGGAATGGAGATAAAGTACCTCTAGATAGCTCTTGAAAGATAATCTGAACCTAAATAATCTCTACTCAGCAAAGTGTTTTTTTCTGGAATATTTAATGAAGAATTCATTAATTTCTAAAATACTTTAAGTGTGGCAATGGTCAGGAAAGTTGTTATGAAAATCGCATCTGCTTACTCAACAGGTCTTCTCTCTGAGTGCATCTGCTTACCCTAGGGAATAAGGTAAACATATCTGCAGTCCTGTTGGGCCTGCATAGCAAATAACAGCTATGGGAGAGTGAGCTGGGTTCTATTTGGGCACACTCATCATCAACAGAATTGTTGAAGTTCAACTGAGGAATCTTCATTACCAGTGATGATGACTGATCCAAAAAGAACACAGCTGGTTTTCTAGACCCCAAGTCAAAAAGGCAGCACTATAATCTGTTTGCCTGAGAATTTAGCTAATTATACATGGACAGTGGAAGTCACCCACAAGAACAGCTATTTAAAGCATGATAACTCTGGCCTTATGTGGGATTTGAGAATTTCATCCTGAGAGGAGGGGAAAAAATAAAATCCACCCTCCCCTCAAGCCAAGTGATTCTATTTTTACAGAGTAACTTCTGAAAATGTAATCACACTTCAGTGCAAATCCGTCCTCCTCCTCAGTGATCAGTATGGTCCTGCTGCATAAGATGGGGTTAGATACAGAGTTGGGGGTACTGCAGGAGGCAGTTCTGGACAACTTAGCCAGCCATTTTCTAGAATTTGGCCCAATCACAATGGCAGTTCTAGCGGTGGGTGCTCATCCCAGTGAGTTTCAACATAATCGTCAGTTTCCAGTCTCCAGCCCTTCTGATTTATACCACATCAGTCATTATAGACTCTTCAAAGAGGCCTATCACCCTCCAATTCCCCTTTTCCCCTCAATGGCATGTTATCTCTAAAGACTTCCTCAGGAGAACAAATTAAAGATTAGTGTATTAACTACTAATTTAACAGGTAGGAGATAGCATTGTCTTGTGGAGAGGTCACTTTCCGCTCTCTGGATATTTGGATTCTAGTCTTAGTTTTGCCACCAACTTCTTGTGCAACCTTAGGCATGTAGGTTTCCCTTCGGTAAAATTTCATCACTTCCCAATTTCAGATGAGTGTTCGGATGTTCTCTCCATAAGTAATTGGAAGGCACTACAGTATGAGAAGTAATTGGAAGATACTACAGTATGAGAAGCAAGTGAATAGGTAGGAAATTGTGGATATAGGGCACTGATATCTTTCTTCAAATCCTAGGAGGCACAAGAATAAGAAAAAAAACTTTGGGATTTGCAGGGACCCACCTCAGAATAACACTACAGTAGAACCCCTATTACAATGATTGGGGACTGAGGAGTTTGTAAAATCAACATCTCAACACTACAGTAGATATGATGCATAAATTGCAGTATGGTGCACTGCATTGTTCTCTTCTTGTCCTTCAAACCACTGCAAAGCAATTTCTAGTGCCCTGAAGGCATCAGAATGGGATAAGATGTCAACTTGTTTTTCATTACTTTCACTTTTGTAATGTGATTTCTTTTTCATTTGTGTTCTGTAGAAAAAATGGTTCATATAACTGGTCACTCATAAGAACATAACATAAGAACGGCCATACTGGGTTAGACCAAAGGTCCATCCAGCCCAGTATTCTGTCTACCGACAGTGGCCAATGCCAGGTGCCCCAGAGGGAGTGAACCTAACAGGTAAGGATCAGGTGATCTCTCTCTCCTGCCATCCATCTCCACTTGCCCTTCTCTGAACCTTTTCTAATGCCAGTATACAGGTCTGTCTCATCTTACACGGGGGTTCCATTCCGCGGTTAGCGTGTAAAGCAAAAACCGCGTATAGTCAAAATTACATTGAGTTCAATGGCGGGCAGAATCGCCCGCACTACAGGTACAGTATTAAAATTGTTATTTTTCTCTTTTTTTGTTGTTTTTTGTTTTGTTTTTGCCGACCGTGTAAAGCTGAAATCGCGTGTGTTAAATGCGCCTAAGATGTGACAGGCCTGTATCTTTTTTGAGATGAGGCGACCACATATGTACACAGTATTCAAGATGTGGGCATACCATATGATGTTCATAAAATTAAGGTTCTACTGTACATTATATGACAATCTCCTTTGTATTTGTTAGCAAGGTGACAAAAAGTTAAACAGCATCTAAAATCTGTCCCCAAAGATATACAGTATTTAAAGCACTGGGTAAGAAATGAGAGATATCCTTATGTGAATTGCTGATGAACTTCAGTGACTGCAGATGAAACAACTGATAATAGGGAAAAAAATCTTTGGTAACAGTGTCATCAAAGAGGACTGCCTCCAATATTCACAAATCAATTATATGGGATGAAGAGAGGTAACACAGAGAATACTGACTGGGCTGCAAATCACAAAAGTGGACCTGGTGCACTGTATACATTGGAATCCCTACCTCAGAGCAGTCCAAAAAGACCCAGGTCTGGGTGTAATGCAGTAAGCTACATGGTATTCCATTTGTATATGAGATGAATGAGGAGCTAAGATCAACGTGTCAAATTTAGAATTTGTGGTGCCAGGGAGTGTATTTATTCTCATCCTCCTGTTCAGACCTTTGTGCCAACATCATCAGAGTAACACGACCAGCGCAAGACTGAAGATGGCTGGCCTAGGGTGGAGCAGAATCCATGTTCAGTAACATTAGGAAACTCTTCTGGTGATCAGATGTACACTTGTAGATCCAGTGGGAAAGTGTAGAATCTAGCATAGATTTTCATGCATCAAGATCTACTGGAATGATCTCCTATGGAATTTTTTTGTTTGAGAGAAAATAATTTGGCCCTTAATTAGAAAAACCTAAGGAAGATCATATATTGACTCTTGAGTCGAACATTCAATTTCTGAGATCATTATTCCTCTTAGCACTGGAAGACTGACAAAAATATCTAAATTTACATTTTAAACTGTCATTCCTGTAGCAGCACAAACTGTTCCACTGACAGTGACTCATGCTGTTGCTGAATTCTATTGTAGATGCAGCTTTTTAAGACTGTTACAGATATTTCCTTCCTACACTATAGACCAATGATCCCCAAACTTTTTACCTCGCACTCTCCCTTACCTGTCTACCGCCTGCTCTCCAGGAGCAGTGACGCAGCTCTGGGTGGGGAGGATGTGGACAGGGCTAAGGGGGCCGAGGCTGGAGCCACAGCTGAGAGCGGGGCCAGAGCTGAAGCTGGCAGCCAGGACCCAGGACCAGCAGCGGATCCCTGGGCGCAAGGCCTGCAGCTGGGGCAAGGGCCAGGAGCGGATCTGGGTGGTGCTCTCTCCCCACCCCATGTGGAGGCTGGCCTGGAGCATGCCCCACAGTTTGGGGACCTCTGCTGTAGACAATACTACACTGTGAAACAGTTTAGTCTGTAGTGTATATAAGAACTAAAATGGATTTTTAACTGTGATCAAGAATCATGACAACTCTGAAAAGCCCAAGGACCTTACCATTAAGAAACACTATACTACCAGAGCAAACCACTTTTAATCACTCATACACTTTCTGTGGTGTATAATTTAAATTTCATATCATAGTATGTTATCCTCTTTATGTATTCAGCCATTAGCAAGGTCTTTCTTCCTGTCTGTGCACTATATCACATTAACTAAATTTTACACATCAAGATCAGGATTTCCAAGATCCTTCATAATGGGAATTGGGTGCCTAATACCCTTTGGATCCTTGGAAAACCGAAGCCCAGATATTTTGTGTATGCAAGCAAGATAAACAAATAAGGTCAGGAGAATATTATTTTGCAAAGCAGATGGCTGAGCTCCAGTTGACACTGAAGGGAAGGAAGCTGGGAAGGGAAGGGACAGCGAAGCACTGGAGAAAATATTACTATAACTAGGACTTAGAGCGCATCTTTCACCACAGATTCTCAGAGCATTTGGCAAACGTTAAACAAGCCTCACAACGACAAGTTATCTTAAGAAAGTAACATGCCTGAAATCATACAGAGTCTCGGTAAGAAATGGAAATAGAACCTGAGTCCAGACTCCCAATTCTCTACTTTAACCACTAGCCTACATAAACAGCACACAGTCAGTTGTCAGGACATCTGTGATGGGAATTATGGGGAAACAGATCATATAATTATGGTTTTGGGTAATTAAAAATAATATTTAAGAAACAATATCAATAAATGACATTCCTGAAAGCATACAGAATGCATTGCAAAGTACACCTCTACCTTGATATAACGCGACCCGATATAACACGAATTCGGATATAACGCGGTAAAGCAGTGCTACGGAGGGAGGGGGGAGGTTGGGAGGCTGCGCACTCCAGCGGATCAAAGCAAGTTCAATATAATGCAGTTTCACCTATAACACAGTAAGATTTTTTGGCTCCCGAGGACAGCGTTATATCGAGGTAGAGGTGTATCAAATTATACAGTGCCTTGGAAGTAGTCACACTTTCTTTATTTTAAAAGGTCTACTTTTCATTAGAATAACAATGTTCTTTCATATTTTTGGCACAAGGTGTTTAATGAATGAAGATAGACTATTTTAGACAGTATAATCAATACATATGAATGTAACATAACAAAAGCCATAGTAGGTCAGACCAATGGTTCATCTAAACCTATATAGTGTCTTTTGATAGTGGCTGGTGCCAGATGTTTCAGAGATTCAAAATATACTACTATTTTATCCTAAATGTTCTTCTACAACATGTCCCTGTACAAAGGGCATACTGTAAAAATTTCAAAATGCATTACAAAGTAAACCTTCAAATATTTTAGAATTTGAGGTGCTTAAAGAATGCTGCCAGAATTCTCAAGATACATCCAAAAACATCCTCCTCCTCCTCAAAATAATAATAAGCCTGCAGTAGGTGGTAATACAGAATGAGATCTAGCTGTTCACAAATTTAAACTCATCTAATAAGTTAAACATTTGTTAAACTATTTTCTTAATGTAACAAGACATGTGAGGTGCATTTTAGTATGTAGCTGTTTATAGAAAAATATGATTTCAGTAAGAATATATATATACATATATATATATAATATATATATATATACACACACACACACACACACACAGACCTTTCATTGACACACCACCTACAGAATTCATTCTTCACCCCGTCAGGAACGTTGACCTTCACTGTCAGGATCTTCAGATTTTCCCCTCGGTTAATGGCCAGAATCTGAGTGCAAACATAAATGGCAAAGACAGATGACACACAAAATACCCAAAAGATAAACTTATCAAGTCAACATTTGTATACACATTTGCTTGACATTCTGGAGCAAGTCATGCTGCTTATACAGTAAAACAGTTCACAAAGTATTGGTTTGTATAGATAACATCCAAAATGTAACTTAGACAAAATCACGCCATAGCAGAATACAGTATATTGTTTCTCCAGAATAAAGGATCCCAATTTCATTTTGAGAATCCAGTTTCTGTTTTATATATATACACATGTACATGTATGTATACATATATTATACACCTCTACCCCGATATAATGCTGTCCTCGGGAGCCAAAAAATCTTAGAGCGTAATAAGTGAAACAGTGTTATATCGAACTTGCTTTGATCTACCGGAGTGCGCAGCCCCGCCCCCCCGGAGCGCTGCTTTACCATGTTATATCTGAATTCGTGTTATATTGGGTCACGTTATATCAGGGTAGAGGTGTATATAGAGACACACACAATATATATTTATATATATTTAAAAAAAACAAAACAGGAAATTAGACAGTTGTTAATTCACTGATTGAACCACTGAGGTGTTGCCCTTGTACAACCCCAGTTCAAACTTTCACTAAACAAAATGGAAAGTGATTCAAATCAAAACAGGAGACTACAGAAGAGACAGAGCTACATTTATGCTCCTGGTTTCCTTATTTGTACTGACAGCAACCAAATTAAAATCAGTCAGTTTGTAGCAGAATGTGTGACAAGAAAGGTAATCAGTTTAATTTGTAAAAGTTGAACTTTTCATTACTCACCCCTAGGAAACTTAAAACATTTTGCACCCCATTTTCAAATTAATATTAATACACCAGCCTTTAAGTCACTGCACAATCATCTATGCTCACAAGAGAAAGAATCTGTGCACAAACGCAACACTTACACTAATGAACTAGCAGGTCTGGAAAGAAAAAAATCTATTTCAATACACATTTTGGGTTTTTTATGGGCATCTGTGACTCAGATGCAAATCTGGGGTCACAATTCAAGAGGTAATTACTGGAAGTTTGTCACTATGAACCTAGGCTAAATCCCATTTAAGTCAATGGGAGCCTTTTCTATTTGGATCAAGCCCTATATTGGTGTTTTATAGACAATGCGATCTCAGAATAAGGGATTTAATAAATGTAAAGCATGTAATTTGCATGCAACTGCATAGAAGAGAACACTGTTTTTTATACTTCCTTTTATTCCTCTAAGTTAAACTCCACCAACACATATTCCTTAAACATTAGATGTGTAGATTCCATTAAAAAAAGCTGTTAAAAGTTGACATTCCTGTATTGCTGCATATGTTGCTGTATATTACAGGCCATAAATACTGTCACAACAGAGCATTCTGTGTCAATCATGAACTTTAATTCAATCACTAGCTAACTCAGACATGTCACATATGTTAAATACAATGGTTTAAAATGACTCCAGGACATAGTACCAATTTATATTCCTCAGCTTTACTGTGCTTGTGACATACCAGGCCTGACATATCATTGAACAACAAAGCTAATAATAAAAATCGCATGTGAAATATTATAGCATCGGGTACCTTGACTGCCAAAGCAAACGTTTTCATGCAAAGATTAGAAAGACATTTTTAACAAATCAAATGCTTTCATGTTTATTCCAATATATATATAAAAAGACAAAGTTAATGTCAAGCTAAAGTGAAATCAAAATGATGTTCAGGACAAACAACATATCTGATATAGAATTATAGTGTCACCATTCACAACATTACTATTAAGGGTCAGTGTTTTAATTAAAACACTATTTACAAGGGCATATAACTAGGCAGTAAAAATGCTCTTAGTTCTCTCTCACTAGCAAATCTTTTTACCAACTTTAGAATTTAACACTCAATTTAGTCTGTTCTAAATGATGAGTGTCTACAGAAAAAATATAAATTGAAAAGAGCCTCAATTAAATATGGCAAGTAGTTAGCCAATATCCCCATGTCATGCAATGCATGTACAGTATTCACTTTTGGCAACAGATTCCACAAACAGCCACAATGAACATAAACTACCGTACATTTTTCTCCAGCCCTAAATCGTGTCTGTATTAACAGACTGGAATGGATCCAATGGATAGGAGTTACACTCTCATAGACTAATAATGAAAAAAATAACTTCTAAAAACAAAATAGGAGCAGGGATTTAATCCAGTGATACAAAGAGATACGTCAGACTCAGTTCTAGTTATTGAATACATAACATCTTGTGTATTATTTCACAGAACTTTCTGATTACATATTTATCAGAGAGCCTTAAAATAAGCAGCAGCAGTCTTGAATTAATATATTCCATTTATATCTTTCAGTAACTTTAAATATCTCTTGCATAGGGTGACCAGATAGCAACTGTGAAAAAACAGGATGGGGCTGAGGGGTAATAGGAGCCTATATAAGAAGAAGTCCCAAAAACCGGGACTGTCCCTATAAAAACAGGACATCTGGTCACCCTACTTTTGAATCACACTTTTTAAATGGTATTGAAGCTATTATGCCTAAAACATGGTATTTTACATATCAGTCTCCCCCTTCCCTCCCACACACCCAATTATGTCTTCCTGCCACATGGTATAGAAAAGAAGAAAAAGAGACTAGTGCATAAGCACTGGTATGTTTACAGCAAGTCAGACAATGTCAAGATGTTGTGGCGGAGGTTCATTCTATTATTTATATTGTGGCAGTAACTAAAATATGCTAAGTGCTGTACATATATAAGTCCCATACCTGAACAGCTAGCATCTTAGAAGAAGGGCAGGATATGTGGACCTCTTTCCTCTTAGTGTATGTCTACACAGCAACTAGACACCCGCAGCTGGTCCATGCCAGGGAACTCAGGCTTGTGGTTGTTTCATTGCTGTGTAGACTTCCAGGTCCGGGCCCAGGACCATGCGAGATGGGCGAATCCCAGAGCTCAGGCTCCAGCCCAAGTCCAGAAGTCTACACTGCAATGAAACAGTTCCGCATCTCAAACCCTGCGAGCCCGAGTCAACTGGCACAGACCAGCCACGGGTGTCTAGTTGTTGTGTAGACATACCCTTAGAAAAAAAAAGGTACATACACCTCTACCTCGATATAACGCTATCCTTGGGAGCCCAAAAATCTTACCGCGTTATAGGTGAAACCGCGTTATATTTAACTTGCTTTGATCCACCAGAGTGCGCTGTCCCACGCCCCCCGGAACACTGCTTTACCACGTTATATCCAAATTTGTGTTATATCGGGTCGCATTATATCGAGGTAGCAGTGTAACTACTATCTTTAATGTACAGCAAAATCTTCCAGACAGGAGGCACCCTCAAGAAAGGTAAAGATATACATACAATGAAGCTGACATTGTGCAGTTATTTTTCAAGACCTATATTTTAATTTTTTATTTTTTTTTACTCAGCAACCAGGAATTATCTTTTTTTCTCCAGCCAGTTCAGTTCATATCCTTCCTTAGACGCAATTAAAGCTTTCACTAGTATAGTAAAAGCTTTTTTATCCACCATGTTGGGGCAATGGTGGAGGGGGGTGCCAGTAAGTGAAAATTCCAGTTAACTAAGAGGGAGGGAGTTTGGGTGTGGGGTTGGGGATTGGGGCACGGGAGAGGGTGCGGAGCACTGGCTCTGGGAGGGAGTTTGGGTGCAGGAGGGGGCTCAGGGTAGGGGGCTGGGGCGTGGGAGTGGGTGCAGGGTGCCAGATTTGGGTGGCACTCACCTCGGGTGGCTCCCCGCAAGTGGCGACCTGTCCCTGCTGCTCTTAGGCAGAAGTGTGGCTAAGCGGCTCTGCATGCTGCCTCCTCCCACAGGCACTGCGCCCCCGCAGCTCCCATTGGCTGCAGTTCCCGGCCAATGGAAGCTGTGGATCCAGCACTCAGGGCGGGGCAGGAGCAGCGTGCAGAGCTGCTTAGCCGCGCCTCCAACTAGGAGTAGCAGGGACAAGTTGCTGCTTGCTGGGAGCTACCTGAGGTGAGTGCCACCCGGATCTGGTGCCCCCTCCCATGCCCCAACCTCCAGCCCCACACCCCCTCCCACACTCCAAATCCCTTGTGGCCGTTCCTCCGCCTAGGAGCAGCAGGGACATGTTGCCGCTTCCAGGGAGCCACGCAGAGCCAGGTAGGGAGCCTGCCAGGCCCGTGCCAACTGGACTATAAACCGGACTTTCAATGAAGATCAGAAATGCTGGTTTATAGAGCTTTCTGGCTGGTAAAGTACCAGATAACACAGCTTTTACTGTACTGTGTTACTCACACTACAAATCTAGAAGAACAACAACTTACTCTGTACTTTTATATACATGATTTTATTAGATACATGATTCTGAATGGCAAACAGATACAAAATGAATTTTTTGTCAAAGAAAAAACAACTTATTCTATTACATGACAAATAGCATGTGAATGTAATTCAAGTAATATAACCTATGTGAATGCAGGGCAGAATTAAGGCTGTTCATAGAACTTTAACTATGAGTATTGCCTAACTTGAGTGCTTAGCATTCTCGGTGTAATTTTTATGTAGAGAATCTTTTTTTTTTTAATTTCACAGATTCTTCCTAAAGTTTCCATGTTCTCCACATCATTTACAGACATGCTTCTTAAAAAACAATGGACTGAAAAAGAGGATTTCTTCGAATGAGTTTATCTATCCCCCTTCTCTCTTCAGTGCACATTTTATATGGCCTCCTTAATATGGAAGATCACAACATTCTTTACTGAAAGTCATAACAGGTATAGGAGAAAAGACATTATTTAAAGAGGAAGTGACTCTCACTGATTTGGAGGGAAGGAGAGTTCTAATCCAAAGCACCACAAGTGAAAGTGTGACCACATAGCTTTCAGGGTTGCAAGGATTGGGTAGGAAATAAATTCAAGGTGGGGAATGACCAAGATTTTCAGAAACCAAGTTGAAAGAGAAATAAAATTCTAGGTGAAAAAACAAAAAAACAAAGTTTTTTTTCCCCTAGCAAGCAAGGTTAGAAAGAGAAAAGTGTTTTGAAATTAGGAAGAGAGTATGACAAGAGAGAAGTATTTTGTATTTTTTAAAACAGGAAATCTAGATTGTAAACTCCATAGGTCACAGACTGTTGCTTAATTATGTTTGTACAGTGCCTAGCACAATGAGACCTATTCCTAGCTGGGCTCTTAGGCACTACCACAATGCAAACAACACAGACTTTTCAAGAAGTATGACAGACAAAGATTCAGTAGTTAGAGCAGAGTTGGCGAGCAGGAAACAAAAGTAAGGTCCAGTGAGGACATAAGCTAATGATGAAACAAAGGAAGTTGGTCATGGATTCACTGTAGATGGGGACTGAAGAAAAGTTTATAGGCTAATCAAGAAAGAATAAGGCTCCTGGTTTTGCGAAAGCAATAGAGGCACATTCCTTTGTTGTTGTTTTGTTTTGTACTTGTTTAATCTTCAAAAGGGAGAGAGAAACAGAATCCTGGACAATTTCCCAAGAGATCCTTCTACTTTTCAAAAGGAACACAACATAAAATGTGGACTTTAAAAAACCTTTAGATTACTGAAGCTGCAAGAATTCTTTAAAAGTTTAAATTTGCTTTTTCACCATTTATGATGTTTAATTTATTTTTCCCTCTTCACTCAGTTTGGACGATGAAAGTAAACTGGTCAGTCACCTTTAAAAAAAAATTAGGCAATTAAGTGTTCTGGTTCTCAGGTCCTAGCACAATTTTCACATTTATAACATTATAGGAGAATATTTTTAAAACCATTCACACAAATCTCAATTTCACTTTTTTAAAGTAAATGTGGAGCCCTCGATTTTGTAGAGAAAAGCTTGCAAATGTGGCTCAAAAACCAGAAGGGAAATAAGATACACTCAAATGTATTTAATTACCTGATTTTCAGGATTTTAACAGGGTTTTCAAGCCAATTTCATGATTTGGGGGGGCCTGACTCATGATTCTAACATAATACTGCTCTCAGAAAAAAGACTCCAGACACTGAGAAAGTAATAGTTAGCACCTATGCATTTTGAAATCACGTACTGTGCAAACAAAACACACTCTTTAGTGTGTTCTTTGTCCCCTCTATGCTGAGTCGCCAGAGGGCATCAGTTTCTAACCCTTCCCAGTTACAGGAACTGGTTCTTTAACTGATACTGTACATGCACAGATAATTTTAGCGTTCTACGAAACTGTGGTGAAGACTACACATCACTTGTGGCATTTAAAATAAGATTAAGACAAAGCAACAGAAAACGTGTTACGGAAATAATCCTGAAGTGGGGCTAGTCGAAAAAAGGTAACAGGGTTTTTCTTTCTCTAATTTGCATGATTTAAATGTGGTGAAACGTGGATAGATGTTGATTTATTCTCAATGACTCAGTGAGTCATGTTAGGACATATTGTGTGATCTTATATCTTTATTATGCATTCTAACAGCAATCTATTTCTGCTACCACTTCAGAAATGGAGAAACTGATCAGTTTGCAATGGTTGAAGTTTTCTTTTTTCAAATGAAAAACAGTCTCCGATAGGGATCTACAAACTTTTCACACCACAGTATTTTATGATAAAATATGAATGATTTATAAGAAATACTGTAAAAATGATAGTCTAGGCTTGAGCTAATTGAGCTCTTCAGACTTCATTAATGTAAACCTCTATAGACCAATTACTGTAAAAATATGATAAAATGCTATAAACATTGACACTTAAAAAGAGCATAGCAGGGACCTCTTACACATTTACACCAAGGGTTTGGATATTAAAACGATTAGTAATAATTTCATCCTTTCCCCAATACCCAGATTGCTAGAAATAATGTAATCTTTGTATTATTACAAGTGAACTAATTTCAAACCTCACTACCTCTGGCAAGTGTTCAGCATAACAAATCCTCTTTAAAACACCCAGGAGAATTCAAAACAAACGTCAAAATCAACTTTAGCAGGCAAAACCTCACATGGCTTTTTAAAATGGCAACAGGACAAGCCAATGAAGATGGTGTCACAGAAATAAAGAAATGTTGTACAAGAGCAGAAGCAGAAACAGCCATCTACAAATCTAGACACTTCTTGTGGATTAATGAAGGTTCTCGGTTTAAATAATAGAACAGTGTCCAGAAGGTACACATGTTTCCTGTCACCCCATCAGGGCAGAATTCTCTACATTTACAATATTCAGAGCAACACCTGAAGTGTGCACCTCTGTTTCTGAGATTAAGCAATTTGGAGCAGCATATGTACTGATAGGGGTGTAAGACATTGCATATCAATGGAGAAAGCTCCCCTCCAGTGCAGAAATCGCTTTCTTCCCATAATCCCTTTTGAAGACCTACAGCTCTATAGTTATCATTTAAGACTATCAGAAAGACCTCACAGATCAGAAGATGATCACCTGCCAAACAAGAAAAATACTACCTATGTCTTCGGTATGTTATATGCTGAATGCGTCCCTTAACCTTCTTATTTGAAGCATTCAGCACAAGTGAAGTTGCTGAATACTTTTTTTAAGTACTATATTTGCAGGTCACCTTTAACTACAATTATCTAACCTTTTCTTGCTGCTTTGCACCAATTTCAACTGACAGGTTTAATGCCGAGTGGCTCAGAGCACTCTTTGCCCATGTGGATGGTCTCTGAGCCACTCAGTGTTAAAGCAAACAACAGAAGAAGACATAACCAAAGAACTACCAAGAAAAAAGTGCGTTTAATTCTATTCACAGTTTTTTAAATCCAGCTAGAGCTCAGAGCATTGCTCTTAGTGAAAAACTAGTAAAGTAACCTATATTCTTATCCTTGTCAGGATAAACTACTTAACCTTCCCCCTTTTCCTCCAAATGCTTGGTACCTGCTTATTGCCTTGGAAAAACAGAGCATGTGCCCTATTATCCTTCAGCAGATGGATCTCATTGGTTTTGAGCACTCTGCTACCGACTCTTTAAATACATTTGCTTTAATTAGACACTTTAATTAGACAAACACTCCTGAGTATTCAATTCCCACTTCAATTTTTTAACATGTGTTTCAACCTTCCAAGTTACTTTTCCAAGAAACCAGAGTCTTTCGTTACCTCAGGTGACTGAACGGTGAAATCAAAATATGGGTAAACTCAATTTTGAAAGGAAATACTTATGACACCTTTTTTTTCTAGGAGATGTATACATGCTGTTTACCATTATAAAGAAAATCAATAGCATATTCATAATGTGTACCTGGTGATGCTGAATGTTCTTAATATTGCAAGAAAAATTCTGGTACAGTTGGAATTTGTTAACGTCTTTCTCATTTACATTTTTTGATGACACTTTTGCCAAGGCTGACTGGATACATATGTACCTTTGCTGACATCTAAATACAAAGAAGAGTAAGTTAATTGGGTGATATGACATGAAGCCTTTAATAGTGTAACTGGAGTTTGTGTTAAAACACAAAATCCTACTGAAATAAATATGAAGCTGCTACTATTGTTTTCAATTGCATTTTATGTCATAATCATCATAAGGGAATTGCATAATATGTCTTAGGGACGCGAATGAAATCATAAGACAGTTAATATATGGACAGCAAAAGAATTTCAAGCAGAGCTCAGAAAAGCTGAGCCTTATCCTTCTCAAGCGTGATCTAACTGGGAGCCCAAAGGCTCCTTTTACATTGCAGTTTGGGGGTTTGCACTAGCCAAGAGATGACAGTACTGTGGATGAGAAGCAAGTTTTAACTCTTATGAAACTGACTGGCCCCAAAGGCTTTTTAAGCCTGGAGACTAGCTGTTTTTGGAGGTTTGGGAAGGCCCATTATAAAGTGCTGCATGGAAGGAGAAAAACTGGTCTATGGTTGGGGCAGAGAGACTCTATCTGGAAGCCCAGATGGACAGTCCTGCCAACACCCTGGCTGTGTCCCCACACCTGTCTGATGGAGTAACTATACCTTCTGTGGCAACTGGGTCCTAACACCGCCTGATGCCATGAGTGGGCAGCTGAGAATAACAACACAAGGTGAGACAAAAACTGTGGCTCCAGACCAAAGAAACCAATAGGTGGACAGGGAGCATGACAGTCTAGAAAACTGCAGAAGGACTAGTTCAGTTTCTTGGAAAGTGAGGGAGAGAAAAGAGCAACATTTATTCAGCTGCTTCTCTTACTCATCCTTACAATACTAAGTAACCTAGGTTAGTAACCTAGGATAAAATTTTCAAAAGCACCTAGCACACTTGGGAACCTAAATCTCTTTTTCAAAAGTGGGCTTCTGTACATGGGGAAAACTGACCAGAACAGCTATTTTGGAATAGCTCCTCATGTGAACACAGTATGTAAAATATGCCAGAAGAGAGTGTTTACACCAAGGAGTTATACCCAGTAGCTAAATTACACTGGAGTAGCTATTCTGGAATGACTATGCCGGATAATTTCCCCCCAGTAGGCAAGCCATTAGGCACTTGGGAGCCTAAGTCTCTCTGAAAGTCAATTAGATGCTTTTGAAAATGTTACCCATCGTCTTTAATGATTTCTATCCAAACTCCAGTTGTAAAATGATATTTTAAAAACCAGTTTATGAAAGTTACAACCTGTCCATGACTGGTGCAACCATGCCAAATGAAACTGTTATTTTAAATATTTTTTTTAATGCCATTACAATTTACTATGCAAAAAAGGATCCTGTGTGTTAAATTATAACTCCTCTTTTCAACATAGACCATTCCCTTAAACAAGTATTTGTTTTAAACCAGTCCTAAATCAATTATTCATTCTAACCTCACCGCACATAATGTTGTTATAAAGTTCAAATACAAAAGGAAAAAGCTTTCAAATATGTTTATTTCTCCTGTCATTTCATACAAATAGAGTTCAGGAGATTGCAGAACCCTGCAAAGATATAATGTGTTTAGCAAATGCCTACATTTCATTTTGTATGCAGTACTGTTATAGCCGGGTTGGTCCCAGTACATTAGAGAGGAGATGGTCCAATAAAAGATATTACCTCACCCACCTTGTCTCTCTAAATTTCACTTTAACATTTAACCAAACTCAATATCCACTTGCTTCTTTGCATACCCTACTATGACTTTATTATAGTAGATGGAATATGTGCTAGACAGCTAAATTTTAGGATACCCTTTAAAAAAAAGAAAATGTTCCATGGCAACAATTCTTAATTTGTAGTTTAGACTGATACAATAGAACAGCGTTTCTCAAAATATGAGTGTGTAGGACATCAGTGTTTCATTAAGCATTTTCTGGTTATCTGCAGAATTAATTATTTTGAGAACAAAGCAGTAAAAGAACAGGGGTGGCTAGCCCACAAAAGCATCTCTCTCACGCAAAGCAGTCCTCAAAATGACGCCCGACTCTGAAGGCAGCAGCACAGAAGTAAGGGTGGCATAGTATGGTATTGCTACCTTCACCTCTCTACTGCTGCTGACGGGGCACTGCCTTCAGAGCTCGGTGCCTGGCCAGCACCTGCTGCTCTCCGGCCACCCAACCCTGAAGGCAGCACAGAATTAAGGATGGCAATATTGTGACCCCCTACAATAACTTTGTGAACCTCCCCACCCCCTTTTGGGTTGGGACCCCCAGTTTGAGAAATGCTGGTCTTCCCAGTGAAATCTGTAAAGTACACAAAAGCTCAGATTTTATCCGGGAGACCAGATTTCACTGTCTGAGACATGTTTTTCACGGCGATGAATTTGGTATGGCCCCATCTATAATATCAGCCAATCAGATCCTACCCAATTCATAATGCTGTATACTGCTAAAAAAATTACTTTTTCTGGATAAATTGCTCCATATAGATAACAGTTGCACTAAATCTGTTTTCTATTCCAACCAGAATGCAACAGAGTAATAACAACACAGCAAGAGCAACTGTCACTCTACTGCATCGATATTCATCAGATAAAGCAATTAAATCTAAGTCAGTATTTGGTATAACAAAAATAAATTCATTCTATTCAAATGTAGTCAAAGATCAATGTCTCCTGCTTTGAAAATAAATCTCACTGCTTTGCTTTGGCATTTATATTAAAGCAGGAGACTATTATTTTCACACTGTTTTAATTATACTGATTCTATGCTTTAAGAATTAAACCACAGAAAATTAGCCATTAACCTTTATAGGCTGCATCCAGCCCTGGCCTAAGTGGGTGCAAGTGAAGTAAAAGGGGTTGCACCTGATTACATTTGGTCTCAGGTTGGCCCTGAGGGTCTAATCTGTATGCACACAACTTACTGGTAAGCACTTGAAAAGCTGCAATGTGAGGAAGCTGCAAGGGATGGAAAAATTTCCTTCCAATTTTCAATCCCCCTAAAACTCTGAGGGAGAACAATTAATAATAATAAAATAATAATATATGGAGATATACCTATCTCACAGAACTGGAAGGGACCCTGAAAGGTCATCAAGTCCAGCCCCCTGCCTTCACTTGCAGGACCAAGTACTGATTTTGCCCCAGATCCATAAGTGGACTCTTCAAGGACTGAACTCACAACCCTGGGTTTAGCAGGCCAGTGCTCAAACCACTGAGTTATCCCTCGCCCTCATGGGGCTATTTGTGAATGAAGCTGCTGAGAGACATTCTAAATCCAGGCTTTGGGGAATTAAATATCCTGTCCTGATCACAACAGATTTCTCCTATTCTGGTCCTGAATAAATTTGCCAGGACTAAGGACTGTATGTATGCAGAGAGAGGGACAGCCAATAATACTTGTTTCCTAGCATTTGTGTGGGGCAAGTTCTCTGCCAAACACAAAAAGACAGAATTTGACCATATAACCTGCAAAATAAGTGAACGACTATGAAACTTTGAAACTTACAGTATCCTAATGAAATCCAGTGTATCCTTATCTTTAGCAAACATGTCAGCAAGGATGTGTTGTACTCCAGCCTCTACTTCCTGAATGGTTGTAAGTCCTTAAATGAAAACATACTGCTAATTATTATAAAGAATCTAAAAACCAGAACATAACTAAGTAATCACATCAGTAATAAAACATATCCCTAAATACATACAAGCGGAAAGGAAATAAATACAAGCTACTGGAATAATCTGGAGTGTTGCAATAAAGAAACCAAACTGATGGAATTAGCGAATATCATCTGGCCATTCCTTCCAAAACATCTAAAATTAATATCAGATTCTAAAAGTACAGATTATTAATTATGTTACTGTAAATCAAAGCAATGTTAATTGAGAGATGGATATCAAACATCTATACCTTATTCTAAAAGTACTTGCTTGGGCTTCATATTTATTATACATTAGAAATAATAAAAATAATAAAGTTAGATATTTGGACACCAATTAAGAGAGTTCATGCAAGATAAGTAAGCAAAATAGAGGATCACACGCTCCTACTACCTACCGAGCATGTCACTTTTTTAAAGCATACTACATTGTTGCAATCCTGAGTACCTTTCCACAAAATGCTATAAACTTCAGTATTACAGGGGGAGCACATTGCGTTCCCTGTATTGAGGCTGCCTGATCTTCCAGATGCTTTTTTGTTCTTTTTTTAATGATTTCATCCATTTTGCTCAGTACAGATGTAACTCTTAGAGGGTCTGTTATTCCAAGGATTACTCCTATTGCCTTTTTTTTAAAGTATAGGTACAAAAATGTTTGCTATACTCCAGTTGTGTGGAACACGAGCTGTTTTTAAATGAGAGATTGCAATATTTGTTAGTAGCTCAGCCATTTCATTCAGCTTCTTCAGAACTCTTAGACCAGGGGTTCTCAAACTGGGGGTCGGGACCCTCAGGGAGTCAGAAGGTTATTACATGGGGGATCGCGAGCTGTCAACCTCCACCCCAAATCCCGCTTTGCCTCCATCATTTATAATGGTGTTAAATATATAAAAAAGTGTTTTTAATTTATAAGGGGGGGGTCACACTCAGAGACTTGCTATGTGAAAGGGGTCACCAGTAAAAAACTTTGAGAGCCACTGTCTTAGACGTACCTTATGACCTGGTGACTAATTTGCTTTGTAAATCATCCGTTTGCTCCTAAGCCTCTACACACTCAGAGTACTTCCTCTTTGTTACCAGAAAGGAGCACGTCCAGGTTAGAAATCCCCTCAACATTCTCAGAGGTGAAGAGTGATGTAAAGAAATAATTTCACATCTCAGCAATGTCTTTATCTTCCTTAACTGCTCCTTTTAATCCCTGATAATCCAGCAGACCCATCAATTGTTTTGCAGGTTTCCTGCTTCTGATATACTTCATGAATTCTAGACTCACCTGTTAAACCAATTGTGTCTCTCACAACTCTACAAGGCTTCATATCCCACTGACAGCAATCAAGCCAAGCATAAACTCATATCTTCAATACTGCACACTCAAGTTTAAGACCATTTAGCTGTACTACTTCTCAAAAGAATCTGCCAAATCTATGTGCTTAAGTCTGCTGATTGTAAAACAGACTATTTACATATACATAAAGAACTGTTCCAGAGTATTACACCCTCCATAAAGGTAACAACCTAATCATGCAACCAAGTTATTATAGTTAATCCTTTACTTCAAATGCTAGAAGTCTGTGCTGCAGTGTTGAAATTTTAGGATTCAAACTCTGCTGTGAGTGCATGGGATGAAGCACCACAGTTACACATTATAGAATTTGTTCTTGCCTTTTTTTCTTTTTAAAATAAAAAGTAGAAAGTTATGCAGAAAAAAGCTTCAAAGAATGTTAAGGTCAAGCACTCCAAATTAGGAAATACCAGAACTAAGGCTGCCAAAGCAATCTTAATTCTACGCACTTGTGCATATGCACTATGGCCTAGCCTTTAATAATATGACTGAATGCTACTTTTTCCTATAGAATCCTTGCCTCAGGTGCTTAGCAAATGAGAACTGAAAGGCACATGAAGACTGAGGCACAATTTGTTTTCTGGTTAAAGGAGGTCCACATGAGCAGGGGAATTCTGTTTTATCCCTGGCTCTGCCAAATTTTCTATATGATACTGGTCAAGTTTACTAAACCAAAATTTTGTTCAGAGCCAATAATTGTATGTCCTTCATTTTTTGAATGCCCAACTTGACATGAGGTCTCATTTTAAGAAGTGATCGGCACTTGCAGTCCTGAAGACAGCAGAAGCTATGAGTGCTGAGCATCTCTGACAGTAAGGCAGTGTGTCCTGGAGGAACCAGAAGATTCCACCTTCTAATCCTGGCTCTCCAGGGACAACGTGTAGCCTTGTGCAAATCTGTTTCAGGGCTGGTCTACACTACCGAGGGAGGAAATAATGTTGCTGAAGTCAACGTACTTAGATCTACTTACCGCAGTGTCTTCACTGCGGTGTGTCAACAGGAGATGCTCTCCCATCTATACTAGACACAATAAATCGACCTCCGCTGGATCAATCTTTGCCCATCGATCCAGCCAATAGTGTAGACAAGCCCTAAATTTCTTCACATGTAAAATAGGTATTCAATCTCTTAACATCTGTACAAGGCTCTGAACATATAGAAAGCTATAAAAATGCTTCATACTCTGAAAAACCTAGGTTTCTCAAATTGGGCAAGTTGGAATAACTAGGCCTATAAATTTACCATAATTGTAAGCTCAGCTGTGAAAAGTGAGAAAAATACATAAAATAAATAACTAGAACAATCAAAGTCAACAGGAAAAGGTGCAAAAGGAAGACAAAGACCAAATTAGTCCAAACGAAAGGGCCTACTGATATAATTCAAGGACTGTGCTAAGATCATGCCTGGTAAACAAGAACAGAGAGAGAGTGGAAATCAATCAATCAAAATTGGTGTTTCAGAAATTAGGCCTAATTGGTGGACAAAGTAATGAGAGGATGGGTTGTTCCACACATCACTGCTTTTTGGGATACATAATAAAAGACAGACAACAAGGGAGCAGGCTACTGTGATGCTGGCTGACTGAAAAAGTGGAAGGAGCATGCTTCACCATCATGGTTGCCACCCCCACTGTCTTCAGGGACTCTGTACCTTCTTCATCCTGATCCGAAGGCATATTCTGGCCAGACTGGACCAGAGGGAGGAACCCAGATGACACTGCCACCTTCATTGGCTTCTGCTAAATCCCAACCACCACCTGAGAAGGGAAACCTCTCGTCCCCCACCACCAAATCTGTTAATTTCCTTCTCTACCTTATTTCTTCTCCTTCCCATCCATAAGAATGGACATACTGGATCAGACCAATGGTCCATCTAGCCCAGTATCCGGTCTTCCAACAGTGGCCAATGCCACACGCTTCAAAGGCAATGAACAGGACAATCATCAAGTGATCCATCCCGTTATCCAATCCAAGCATCTGTAGTCAGAGGCTTTCAGACACCAGAGCATGGGGTTGCATCTTGGCTACAATAGTCATTGATGGACCTATCCTCCATGAACTTACCTAATTATTTTTGAACCCAGTTACAGTTTTGGCCTTCACAACAATAGCTACAGAGACTACTCATATAAACCAAAAATCAAGGCCTGAGGAGTCTGGAAAGCGTTCAGATGCGCATATGACAGCGGATGATCAAATCCATCAGGAAGTCACCCACTCGATGGTCCAAATTCTGAAGGCCAAAAAGAGTACATGCATAGCTATGTGGAATGTACGAACTCTAAATAGTGCAGGAAAATTAGCACAGGTAATCAAAGAAATGGATCGATATAAAATTGATATCCTAGGACTTTGTGAAGCTAGAGGAAAAGATCAAGGTATGATAACATCTGGAGAAAAAATAATGTTATATTCAGGTGGAACCAAACATGAGACAGATGTAGGAATCATCATGAATAGCGCTGCAAAGAAATCACATATGAATTGGCAGCCAATATCAGATAAGCTACTGGCAGCTAGAGTCCACTCTCGGCACATTACGTGCACCATAGTCTAGGCGTGTGCTCCAACAAACAATGCAGATGAAGAGGACAAAGAGAGATTATATACAGAATTGAACGATGTAATGAAAGAAATACCAGACCACAATCTTGTCCTGGTTATGGGAGATTTTAATGTCCAGATCAGAAATGAAAGAGGAGGTTGGGAAATAGTCATCAGCTCACATACAACTGGAGCAACGACAGACAATGGCACAAGACTTCTTGAATTTTGTGCCAAAAACAATCTTAGCATCTGCAATTCCTTCTTCCAACATAAAAACAAACACAAAAAAACATGGATTTCATCAGATGGCCGTACACAAAATGAGATCGACTATATCTGTGTTAGTCACAGGTGGAAAACATCAGTGTTCGACACAAGAGTATTCAGAGGAGCAGATATAGGGAGCGATCACTATTTGCTGGAAGCAAACATCAAATTGAAGTTTAAAGCGCTTAAAAAGAAAGAACATATGCTGAGAATGGAAAAAGAACGCTTACCAAATACTGCCCTTGAATGGAAGCCAGAAAATGCAAGAAGAGAGGAAGACCGCGAATAACATGGAAACAAAGAGTACTGAACAACATCAAGCACCTCCACATGAAATGGGAAGATTTGGCGAGAAGGGCAGTTTACAGGCAAAGATGACAAATGTGGGTAGCCCAATGTGCAGCAAAGCACAGGATCGACTAAGGTCTAAGGTTCCCTGTACCTTTTCCATTTCTAATATATCTTTTTTTAGATGGGGTGACCAGAATTGGATGCAGTATTCAAGGTGTGGGCGTACCGTGGATTTATATAGTCACATTATGGTATTTCTTGTTTTATTATCTATTCCTTTCCTAATTGTTCCTAATATTCTGTTATTCTGTTCAGCGAACTATCCATGAGGACTCCAAGATCTCTTTCTTGAATGGTAACAACTAATTTAGACCCCATTATTTTGCATGTATAGCTGGGATTATGTTTTCCAATGGGCAACACTGAATTTCATTTGTCATTTTGTTATCCAGTCACCTAGTTTCGGGAGATCCCTTTCTAACTCTTTATAATCTGCTTTGGACATCTTGAGTAATTTTGTAACATCTGCAAATTTTGCCACCTCACTCTTTAACCCTTTTTCCAGATCATTTATGATTATATACTGGTCCCAGTACAGATACCAGAGAGATACTGCTATTTACCTCTCTCTCCATTCTGAAAACTGACCATTTATTCCTAACCTTTGTTTCCTGTCTTTTAACTAGTTACTGATTCACGAGAGGTCCTTCCCTCTTCTCCCTTGACTGCTTAGTTTGTTTAGGAAAGATTTTGTCAAAGGCTTTCTGAAAGCCCAAGTACACTAGATCCATTGGATCACCCTTGTCCACAGGTTTGTTGACTCACTCAAAGAATTCTATTAGATTGGTGCGTCATGACTTCCCTTTACAAAAGCTGTGTTGACTCTTCCCCAACATATCATACACTTTTGCCCTCTCCTTCTCCTTTGCCTTCTAATAGCAGTCTGACTTAGCTGGCCAAGACTGTTTATTTTGCAACACTGCTGTAAGCCTGTGACCAGAAAGGCAGCTAAATGCAATGTCCTAGCCGGCCTGATGCTAATTCAAGTTTACCAGGTTGCAGAGTGACTGAAAAGACCTGTGTGCGGTGCCTTTGTTTTTCAGCAGTGAGGTTGCAAGTGAAAGTCAACACCAAGACAGAAGCTGCATTTTTTTTTAATCTTTGCTGTTCTCTTCTTTTCCCTTGTGAATATGTTTGTCTTGTTTTCTAGAAAACAGAACTGGACTTTAGCAACACCACCAACCAATAGCTCCAGCCCATCTCAACTAACTTCTCTCTTCTCCAAAAGCACAGTTATTACCATTGAGAAGACAATCAAACAAGGGCAGGTGGGCCTGGGGGAGTTCCTTTAAAGACTCTCGACAGCTAAAGCAAAAGGGAATAAGAGATACTGTTCAAATAAAAGCCTTACTTAATACATTACATTTAAAATGGTTTAATCATTTTTCCTTCTTTTTCTGTATCTTTAATAAAAGGTTAAAAGAATTCTTAATGGTGTGTTTACCATGGTAATAAGCATGCTGAGGTTTCTGTATACAAAACCCCAAATCTTGTTTAAAACTGTTTAATGTTGGACAGTTTCAGTGTCATATTCACACACCTTTGACTCTTTGGGTTCTTTTATTCTATCTAAATTAACAGGACAAGCAGCAAGTTATTGAGCAAATCAAAATAGTGGTAAATTTTGCCCTTAATCTATGTGTGTCAGTTTCCCATTTGTAAAAAAGGATGCAAGTCTTTCCTATTAAACATTCATTCGTGTTTGTGAGGTGCTCAGACACTACAGTGACTGGCACCACAGAAAAGCATGTGAGGAAATGAATAATTCCGTATCCAGTGCAGAATTTGGATGGGGTGCAATAAATGAAGGATACATCTGCACATTGGATGGTGAGGATAAGAGAAATATTGAAGAGCTACCCATTGAGTGAGCACCACCTAGCCAGTGCACTGCTGGAGGAAGGGGTCCTGTGTTAAAAACTGTGATCATGTAATTAACAATTATATTACAATGCATATGCACAAAGGAGCAGAATGAAGACTGCAGACAGCCTAAATTCTGGCATTTCATAATTTTTGAATGCTTGACTTTGCAACCTAAACAACATATTTTTAATTCAGAGTTTGTTCTTTTTTTATACATAACATATTACTAGGAACATTCTAAAAATTCCAACTGAGAAATTAAAAGCCATAAGCCAAAATCCCATGGGACCTTTTTTGCATGACTAGGAGCTCACTCCTGTGAGATCAAACAAAATTTATTCTCCACTCATACTGCATGCAGGCTGTCAACCTGGCTGTCACCCCTGATACCTGATTCCTATCTGTATGTCGTTTGTAAAGTGCCTCATGGTCCTTTAGGATGAAAGGCATAATATAAATGCAAGCTCTGATTCTCTATTTCTAGCAGAATATTGAAAAGGGTTTATTCATTCCAAATATTAAAAATGACAATGATACATGCTACTCCAATAACTGACAGTCCCTTTTGAATGCAAGCATTGGTACTCCTGATAATTCATCTCAGCTTTCATTACAAACACTTCCCTTTGGCTCTGGCATTCTCCCAGCACAATCAATTATCTGACAGTATAGCACACAGCAATGCTTGCAACATCTTGCTTTATGAAATATTGCAGCACTCTAAAATGTGATACTTAATCAATCATAAATTTTGCCAATTGATTCACAATGCTAAATTTGGACCAATTTAACTTTACCATTTTAGTTAATCTTTATATTTTGATTACTGTTTATAATGTGAGATGAGCAAGAGTCAGTATCAACAAGCAGTTTCAGCATATGCATTGTAAAAAAAAGGTGACATGGAAAAGAAGAGCTTTACTAGCCTAACACTATGGAACAGTCTCCAACAATCCTGGTGGTTTATTGTCAGAAATTGCCCCCTACAAATAATCGCATTTTCAAAGACAGAATCAGTTCTGCAGAATTTAAATGTGATACAAGTAGTAGTTAGAGCACCCATTCCGATACCAGACTGCCTTCTCTCCAGCACCATCAACACCCACCCAGCACTTAAAGGGCTCCCACTCACTCCCAAGCACCAAATACAGACATTTTTAGGATGTGCCTTGGTGGATGAAATTTGCCTCAGTGCAGGATGCCTGCACAAGTCCCTTTATAATACTGAACTATAAGTCTTGTGTCAAGGTGTAAGTGGAGATGGAACCTTAGACAGGCCCTCTGTGCTGTAGTGAAATTCACCCTATATTTCCTCATGCCACAGTCCGTGTAGCAGGTTCTCATTTCTCCACAGCTTTCCTTCTCAGATTTTCCAGAATTTTTTTTAGACAATAGATGACTCTGATTTTCAGCTTGGCTTTTTCTACTGCATCTATCGCTGAAGTCTCTAAGCAATGTAAGATATTCTCATATTAAATTTCAATAGTATAAGGACAACTAATAAATAAAGCTGTTTTTTATTCAAGGTATGTTCTAATTCCCATTACCGCATACAAGAACTGAGTACTTACCTTTGACATTAGGCTTAATGTAAGAAAACAGACTGAGTTCTACTGGGTTTTCAATGAGAGATATGGCAGCAGGTTCTAATCCCAGTTGTTTGGCCCTTTGGGCTTTGGTGCCTTTACTTCCAGTTTTATATGGTGCAGACTGTGGGGGGGAAAAGTAGTTGTAAAATGTATTGTTATTTAAAAAGGCAGAGATCAACATTTCTGCCATATCTAAGCTAGGCAACATATTTTGGGTCAACCAGAACATTGGCAAATTTGTGTCAAATTCACCAAATTGTTTCAGTCAAAAATACCCCCCCCCAAAATCAAGACATTTTGTCTTGGCATCTTCTAAATGAAAGGTTTCAATTTTTAGATTAAAAATGACTATTTCAAAATGTGCTTCAGCTTATTTACAAAATATAAAAAAGCTCAAAAAACTCAACAAAATGTTTTGTTCAATCCTAAACTATTTTTCCCCATTTTCCAGAATGGCCAGCGAACCAAAAATCAGTTATTCTCACAGCACTAGTCACAGCTACCATTGTTCATTACATCTTCTTTAATTGTACAAGATAAAATGTCATAAACATATTTAAAAAAGAGACACTAACCACATGGTCCAATTCATCCAAAGTTTTGCAGTTTAATAAGGCTGTTAATAGACCTCCCGATAGCTTTCCTTCTTTCTTTATCTTCTGTATTGTTGCATGTGTCTTCTTTGCAACAGTACTACAATACATGGGTTTTATGTTAATAAATAATCATATTTCAAATCAGATTAAAAAGATTAGCACTAAATGTGGTCCAACCTACTGAGTCTCATGACAGCATGTTGTTGAGGCAGTGTGTTTGGCCTCAGAAGCCATGGAAGACTACACCATATATCAGCCTCGAGGAACCCACTCTGACAAATGCTGTAGAAATCCTAATAATTTCTCTCCCATTTTAATATTTGTTCAACAAAGCTTGCAATAGTTGGGGGGGGGTGGGGAATCTAGAAATCAAGCAAAGGGTGTCAAGCTAAGTGTTTTATGCTTTGATGTTCCTTGTAAAACTGCCACCCTGTGATCCAAGTGCAGCAAGTCTGACACTTCATCTAAATAAGAATTTATATTAAGTACCTATGAGCTAAATCCAGGGTGATGAGCACCTGGAACTCTTGCTCAAGTCAACGGGAGCTGCAGATGCTCAGCACCTCTCAGGATCTGTCTCTATAGTAGCAGAGAGTATTAGGGACGTCACAGGGTCCAGCAGCCACTAGTAAGTGAAATCATTACAAAACACTTGAGTTGGTCTGTCAGTGGAGGACAGTGGCACACAATACTGCGTGCCCCCCCAAAACTCCGTTTCCTGTCCCAGGCATTCTCCCCTATCTGGGGGGATCCCCTACTCCAACAGGACTGGAAGGGGGAGATCTCAGCACATAGAACCTTTACATCTGTTCCCTGCCCACCTAGAGCACATCAAACATATTTTAAAGACACACTAACGACTGCATCAAGGAGGAACTGTGGCAGCCTTGATTGCCTCTGCGGTGGAGTCTGAACTAACGGAGAGCTGCGGGCTGCTTCAGCGGCAGCTTGCTCTGCTTGGCCAAATAAGTGCTTCCCATTCCCCAACTATATTATTTGGAAAGGGTTGTTGTGTCTCCAAAGGCCCAGAGAGACTGTGTGCCTGTGCACTGGGGGAAGAAGGGGAGTGATTCCCTGTCCTCCTTGCCTACTTATAAGTATAGCAGCTTGCTCCTTGCACTCACTTCCTCTGTCTCCGCTAAGCGTGTGCATGGGTTACTGGCTCCTGGCCTGGTTCCCTCATCACAGTAATATTTTGGGGCTGCCTTCCATGCCCGCTACGAATGCCAAGGTACCACGTGCTACTCGCCTTACCCTACACTAGAAGCTCCTGGACCGACCCTTGCGGCTATCAAAAAGGAGCCCTGGGCTTCTTTTCCAGATGTTCAGATGTCAATGCAAGGGGTAGAGCTTATTTCTGATTCAGGGCTACATAATTTAGGGGCCTCTAAATCACAAAACATATTTGAAATAACTCCTCACTGAGCAATTAGTAACAGTAACTCTCTTTCTTCTTCTTAAAGAAAGTGAAAGACAGGGGAGCATCAAGTATACCCCTCTCTTTAACTTTGAGTATTTTGGCTTTAAGATCTTTGTGTTTTTTATTTTAAATGGGAACATTCTAGTCGGAATTTCCCCCCCTTGCATTACTGATGCATACTTACCACCTTCACAACATATTCTACTGGGAATTATACTATTGCTCTTTTAGACACCATACACACAGAGTTCCAAATTGTAACCAAGCACACAAGGAACACAGACCTGGCAGCAGGTCATCGTTTAACTCTTTTCCTTCACACATACACATACACTCCCCCACTAGATTACTTACCGTAGTTCTTCCAGCGTTTGCTGTACTTCTCGCAAGGCATCAGCTTCCAGATTATTGACAAGCTCTTTTCGATACCGGGCAATGAATGGAATTGTGTTTTCATCACGGAAAAGGCAAATTATGTTTGCACACACCCATGGTTCAATATTTGTTCTTTCTGACAGGACCTGCCACAAGAAAACATAAGTAACTATTTTTAAAGCTGGTAAATTAGCTTAGTGTCTTCACTTCAGTTTCATATCCAGCCAGTATAGAGTACTGTTTTGTGCACAATACTGCCCTCTGCTGGATGGAATGCCAGGCTTGCCAAAGCATGTGTCAAACTATAATACTGCCAGAGGTACCTTGAACTTGAATTTGTACTTATTAAGAAAAAAGAATGAGTTTTGGCATATGATGACCATGAAATAAAGTGGCCACTGTGGCGGGGACATGAACATGAAGCTCTGGGTGGCCACAATCCTGTTATACTAGGTCAGTGGTGACCAGAAAGTCATTATTAAAGACTGCTCCATGTGTGATGTGACTTTGATAATCTCAGGCTCTTTCCTAACAGACAAGGGTCAATATCGCAAAAACCACCATCACATTATAGGCACCTTTGCTATCAGTCTTAGTAGAAAACAAGGGCTGAACATACCCTGGAATATCCTCAGCCATGTGGGTGGTTAAGGTACACTGATACAGTGGTATGGGGAAGATTATACTTCCTCTGTCAGTGCTACAGCTCCTCTGTGGATAAACAGAAGACTTCATCTCCAGGGCCTTTCACAAGCACTAAAACTGAACTGAGGTGAGAATGCCATCAATCCTAACCAAAATATGCAATTTTCATAATTAGGCCAATTTTCTAGCAAAATAATCAATACAAAAACCCAACCCAATTATTAAAAATAGCTGCAGTAGGTTGTTTTGGGGGAGGGAAATGGCATTGCAGAACCCTATATTTAAAAAAAATTGCAGACTTTTGTCCACTGGGAACCAAGATGATGCCATCAAGCTCATTTTACTGAAGTCTCAATAATTAAATACAGGCAGAATTTTCAAAATACCCTAAGCCCTGATCTACACACAGATTTTGTATTGATATACTAATTCAGTTAGGGGTAGAATTTTCTATTGATATAGTTATACCAGTACAATCCCTAGTGTGGACTCAGTATATGGGAATAAGCTCTTCTGGGATAAGTCCCCTTTATGCCAGTGTAACTGCATCTACCCTATAGTGGTTTGCATCGCTTTAACTATCCTGGTATAGTTAAAGTGGCACAACTTGTATGTGTAGACAATGCCTAAGTGACTTAGAAGCCTCTGAAAATTTTACTCTATATGCCTATACAACACACACATGCCCACCTGTGATAATACAAATCACATTAACAGTAACACATTTGAGGCTACATAAAATATCTTATGTACCTTACTGAGTACCTAGTTATAACCAACAGCATAATGTGCACACAGGCTTAGATAATAAACAAGGACATGGGAGAACTTCAAGGAGTTTGCCAACAATATTTGAAGGAATTTCTTCCCTTTAGAAGTCAGCAGAATTTCAAGGAAGTCAGGGAGAGAATTCTGATAATCTAGTCTAATATTTTTAAGGTAGTAGCAAGCTGTACAGTACAGTAGCATGAGTATGCTACAATGTGCTGCCCTATTCCAGTCATGTCCTAGTGTTCCATAGCTACATCTAGCCTCGTAGAACAAGGGCATTAACTGGCTATTTCTACAACATCTGCATTTAAATGGTCATGATTAGGCTTCAAAGTTAATATTCTACTGGGATGCATGAAGATGTCCTCACACTATTTGACATTATTGTTTTAAGTCAATCTGGATGAAGGTTCCATTCTGGCTGATATATATATGCTGAAGTCTATCTCCAAAACAAATGGGCCATCATTTATTTATCGTACTTAAAACTTACATTCTATAAATTACTATGAAGTCTGCAAAAAAAAAAAAAAATCCTAAATTTTCAAGATTTCCATAGCTGCTACAGTCTTTGAATTGCAACTCCCTCAAGCTCTAATGGTGATAAAGAGGAAGAAAGTGAGATTATTCTGTAAATCGCTAAACAATCTTTAATTCAAAGTTTGTCTAGAAGTCATAAATGTCAGAATGATATCTGAATGGAAATTTGTAAAACTTGTTATTCAGAGGCATTTTATAGTGAACTATAACTTTCATCTGTGTATCTTGTCATGGCCTATGTTCAGGCTAAGAACAAACTGTAGTAAATAAAGTAACTCAAGCACTATTTATTTAAGAGTACCATGCTACTTCCTGGAATGTGTCAACAGCTCTTATTGCAGTTAATAAGGATCACGAATGTGTACCAGAGCCCAAGTTAGTCCTATTTCTGTAAGCTACAGTAGAGCTTTAGTGGACTGCTATAAAGAAATGGAGGAGATGTCATACCTGCACAATGTCCCAGTTCATTTCTAATTCCTCTTGGTGCTTGGTGCTTCCAGGATGTTTTACTGGTTTTCCTTGAGGACATGTTGTCAATTTTATCCTTTTTAAAGGGGGTTCATCAAATGTAAAATCTTCTTCATATTTCTCCTGCTTTACTTCATTTTCCATCAAAGGCGCACTTGTTGAGGGTATTTCATCACTATCTAGGTTATTCATCTTTTCTTGACTAACATTTATTTTTGTTCCCCGAGGCATTTTTGGCTTTTTAGTTCTAGTTTTTGGTTTGGGGTCTCCGTCTTCTTTAGGCTGTAAAAGTTTCAGTCCATCTTTACTGTCTTCATCAGCAGCAATAGGCAAAGATACATTCTGCCAAATAATCCATCAAAATAAATTAAACACTGAATATCATGAATTAGTCCTATAAAAACATAGCAGCTTTAACATAAGTTGTCACACATGAAGAACTTGATGGCAGACATCATTTTCCCAAGTTATGGCCCTATACTGAGAGGTGCTCAGAGCCTCACATTTGGTGTTCAGCATTGTAAAATCAGGCCCCTAATTACAGTGCAGCCTGTCTTAAGCAGACCTTCAAAGGACCAGCAAAAAGATAACAAAAACTGCAGCCTAGTAGAGATGGGCTTTGAAGATCAAAGTTACTCTAGAAATCTTGGAATTATTTTTAAACTGCTCTCTTAAAACAGGGTTACCTATGGAGAGAGTGTATTCCGTGGGTTTCACTGCCTACATCATGTATATATAATTAAGTGCTCTAACACAGTGGTTCTCAAAGCTGCTTGTTCAGGGAAAGCCCCTGGCGGGCCGGGCCGGTTTGTTTACCTGCCGCGTCCGCAGGTTCCGCCGATCGCGGCTCCCACTGGCTGCGGTTTTCCGTCCCAGGCCAATGGGGGCAGCAGGAAGCAGCGCAGGCCAAGGGACAAGCTGGCCGCCCTTCCCACAGCCCCCATTGGCCTGGAGCGGTGAACCTTGACCAGAGGGAGCCGCGATCGGCTGAACCTGCGGACGCGGCAGGTAAACAAACTGGCCCAGCCCACCAGGGGCTTTCCCTGAACAAGTGGCGGACCGGCTTTGAGAACCACTGCTCTAACAGACTGAGCTTGGAACTAGAAGGCACCTCCTGAATTCCAATTCCATCCCTTACGCTAAGTTGTTGAGAATCCTTAGGCAAGTCACAACTGGTTTGTGCCCCCGTTTTTCCATCGAAGTTCTTCTTTGGGATCCAGGATCAAAGGCTGGCAAACACAGTAACAAAGGGAGCTCCAAACCCAGGGGATCTTATACATAGGCCATGCATGCTGGAATACCGAAGCACATTAGAGTAATTTACAAACAGAGTAGCTTCCCTTGTGATGAATACCCTCCCTGCAATTTTTCCTAATGTTGAGTATTTCTTCGCCCTACTCTTATATTTTAGTATCAAATATTTGATGAAAGACACAAGGAAAGTCATTCAAACATATTCATTAGGTCTTCAAACTGAACTGGCTTCACTGCTGCTGGGTAAAGATTTACTGAAAAATATTCTGCAAGCTGCACAATGGAACCAACACTAAACTCATGGTAGTATAACATGTACAGCATTTCTATCCCTTCCATTGTGCTAAGAATTTATCTGGAGTACCAGAGCTGTGAAAAGGTGGAAGAGAATGCAGGCGCAGTACAACAAAATAACATTTCAGTGCTGTTTCATTTCCTCTAAAGGAGGGGACGAGGTAGATAGGGTTTTTTTTAAATTAATATATAAACCTCATGGCTATAAAGAGATGTATGGCCTAATTCTCAGAGGCATTGAGCACCTACAACTCTCAGTAGGAAAATTTTGGCCATTGCATTTGACAGCTTTAGTAGTTATGTGTGTCCTGCTTACAGATACCTACCGGCTCCTCTTTTACTGCTGTCTTCCTGGTCCTTTTCCTAACCACAGTTGACCGTGGAGCAGCAGCCTTTTTAGGTTTTGACTCAGTTTTTTTTGGCAGCCTACGTTTACTTGCCACTTTGCTTTTTGGTTCCCACTCCTCCTCTTCCTCCTCTGATTCAGAGAAGCTGAAACAAAAGTAAACATTGCAAGAGGAAAAAACACATGTAAGGCTATATCTATACTACAGAGCCTAGACCGATACAGTCCCCTAAGCACAGAGGCCGTGCATGCTGACAGCAGGAGTTTTTCTGTCAGTTTGGGAACACCACCTCCCCAAACATTAACTACACCAACAGCAGCACTCTTCCGTTGACACAGCTGCATTTACAATGGCATTTTTGTCGGCATAACTATGTCGCTAAGGGGGCTGATTTTTTCAATATAAGTTTTAAGTATAGATGGAGCCTAAGAAAGATTGTAAAGCTGTTTTCTGAAGTAAAGGGAAATGGGCAGGGAAGATGAGCAGGAAGGGATGCAGAGCCTATAAGTAAAGCCTTTTATCCTACTGCAGTTAGTGGCTGGAGTGAAGTGCAGGATCTAGCACTACTCCATGCAGACCTCTGGCCTTGCTAAAGTGGTACACACAGGTTTGTACATGGTTGGTTTTGTTTTGGGGACTTTAGTAGTAGTCTTTATTCTAAGGGCTTGGCTACACTTGCAGATGTAGAACACCAGGAGTTAAACCAGCCCTCAGAGACAGCAGCAGGGAAAGCGCTGCCATGAGTTCACACTGTCAGCTGCAAGCGCAGTGGCGTGGCCACATTAGCAGCTCTTGCAAGGCCACAGAGAGCAGTGCATTGTTGTAGCTACCCCAGTGTGCAAGTAGCTGCAACGTGCTTTGGAATGGGTTTGCAAGGCCTAATGGGGCAGGCACAGCATCACATGATGCAGATTTCCCAATCCCGTTGTTCCAGGACATCCTACAGTACTAGATTGCCAGGTGCTTTTCAAATGGGTGGATGGAGTGTGACAGGGAATATGTTGTGGGTATGGGGTGGGAAAGACAGCATGTTTTGGGGGGCAGAGAGTGTGTCAGTATGCTGTTTTGTAAGTTCAGATAGCGGCAGGGGGGAGGGCTGTCTGAACTTACAAAACAGCATCAGCCCCCAGCCCCCACCCCAACATCAGCCCCCACCCCCCGCCTCTCTCTCACTCACACTCTCACACACACACATACACACACACACACGCCTGCCTCTGCAACAGGAGCATTTCACAGTAATGGTTTGCTTTGTGTCCCGGAGCAGATAAGCATGCCGGCTGTCAGAAACAGAGCTTTGAAAGGGGATATCCGCATGCCTGTAGCCGAGTTCAAAACCATTATGAGAGTGGCCACTTGACTTCAAGGGATTATGGGACGGTTCTGGAGGCCAATCACAGCACAGTAATGCAATATGTCGTCCACACTGATACCCCGGCACTCCACCCTGGGCGCAGCAAGCTCTATGCTTCTCGTGGAGGTGGATAACCAGGGGTGCTTCAGCCACGGAGTCCAGGCGCTCTAAGCGCCTTGCCAGTGTGGACACCTCAGGAGTTAGGGCGCCCGGGGCTGATTTAATGCACTCCAACTTGCAAGTGTAGGCAAGGCCTAACACACATTTTGCCATTTGTTATTTTCATTGTGTGTGTTAAGTATGCAGGTGGGGGAAGGGGTGTTTAGTAAATCAATCCCTTTTTTACATTAATCCTTTCATCTCCTCTGACCAGGGATCTTGAGAAAGCCCTTTGTCTCACTTATACTGCACCAGAATGGCCTCACAACCTCAAACTTGAAGCAAATTATATGCAACAAATATGCATTACTGAAACAGGGTTGTAACAAATATGTTGTGTCGACCAAAGAATTTGAATGGAAAATTAATCTTACGATTTAAGAAAGGAGGGTAATTCATCTTCTTCTGATACCAGTGGTTTTGCTTTAGATTTTGCTATCCTTGGTAGAGTTGACATCTGAAAGGAAGAGAGGTTGGGGGGGAAACCAACAACAATCAATTACAAAAATATTCTCTCTCATCTAGTCTATCAGAATTGTACCCTATGGAGTACATTCTCTTTTCACAGTGTGGGAAACTGGCACACAAGTCTGCATGTAGTATGATCAGAATACACTCCTATATGTTAAAGAATTTAGACCACACCATCGAATCAATCTAATCCCACAACACTTTGCTTTGGGGGAAATTACATATAGCCAATGCAATCATTTTAGACACAAACCTATGCCATTTTTTTAACCAATTTAAGTCAAAATAGGACACTTCTATTCTGGAGGAAATTACATATAGCCAATGCAATCATTTTAGACACAAACCTATGCCATTTTTTTAAACAATTTAAGTCAAAATAGGACACTTCTATTCTGAAATAAAATGGTCCACAAACTTGCACCAAAATAACTAAGTGTGTTTTAATCCATACTTTGTTATAAAGCATGAATGAAAATTGATTTGTTGTTTCAGTGCAAACTTGTGTGTGGACCAGCCCTAACAAAATGGATGCCATTTCACCAGCATTATGGTGTGTTAACAACACGACTTGCCAGACTTCCCCAAACCCGATGTGTACATAGGCAGTAATTCCAAATAATTAGCCCACAGGCCCTGGATTACAAACACCCTCTCTGATCAACCCAGAAATAAAGTTTAAATTCCAAGAATGTGGAATTAGTTTTCAGAGAGAGACAGCTACATATACTCCACACAACAATGGTTAGTTGTTAGACGTACACACACTTCCCTCAGAGTCAAGTTGCATCCAGTCTTTGAATTTGGATACAACAAAACAAAACAATATTCAAAAAAAAATTGTTTGCAAATGAAGGGCCAAAATTCATTTGCTGTGGATGTAAAATCTTAACTACGGTTTCTGCTAAGAACTTTTCATGTAGGCCTAGATGAGGACTAGCTAACAAAGAACAATACGTAGCTAAGAGAAAGTTGGGGTAAACAGATAACCTTGTGTGTTTCAAGTCAGTGAGCAGAGTCAGCATAACTCCGAATGTAATTGGGCGTCCTCATCGCAAGTTATAGACACATGAAGCGCTGAGAAAAACCTCACGGTTACTCCCTAATGCAGGGAAGAGATAGTGGTACAATACCCCTCAGATCCCAGACAGAGTTCAGGGAGAGGCCTAATATAACTGACATAAGTTATGACACCCTTCCCTCATAGATGTATGCCAATCCTAGCCCACAGAAATGCAAGGGTAAACTTATAAACAATTGTTATTGTTAAATACTAATTACTGCTTTTTTGCTTTAAATCTCCAGGAATGTACCTGTTGGGTCAACTGGGACAGCTGCTACCGCATTCCTGTGGACCCCAAAATTAGGATTTAACCTATACACTTTAATAGACATATGTTCATATGTTATAGACACATGAAGCGCTGAGAAAGACCTCACCTCTGTGTTCCTTGTGTGTATGTCCGCAATATGTTAATTTGAGCCTTGTGTGGAGCCATTATGTAATCTTTTAGACCATTGGCTTAGTGTGCTTATCTTGTCTTGCTGCTAGAACCTATCCAGGGGCTTAGGAAACCCATCCCCGTCGTTTCTCTCTGCCCAATGAGCACCCTATATAATCTATTGTAATTAATTGTTCTGCAGTGTCTCTGAGCCTGATAAGCAAAATATCAGAGGGGTAGCCGTGTTAGTCTGAATCTGTAAAAAGCAACAGAGGGTCCTGTGGCACCTTTGAGACTAACAGAAGTATTGGGAGCATAAGCTTTCGTGGGTAAGAACCTCACTTCTTCAGATGCAAGCAAAATGACACTCTGCCAGCGCTGTGTGTAATAAACTCCTGTGCTTGACTCTACAGTGTCCATTTTTGATCCTTCAGCAAACATATTGCATAAAACAATTACCAGAGCAAGAACAATTATTTTCAAGATGTTATTAAATTAATAGTAGATAAGATCCTAAAATCATGTACTTACAGAGAATTGCCTATATACCATTTCTGTAAGAAAATCTGGCAAGCCACCACATAATTCTTCCCCCTCCTCTGTTTTGCTGTGTTTGGGTTCAAATATCCTCTCTTATGTAATCATAGAGGATTGAGCCTTGCCCATCAGTTAAGCACTTTGATTAGCTCATCTCTGCAGGATCCACTCTTGCATTCCCAGGGAAATGGCTAAGTTACCCATTATTCCCCCGAGCTTTTGAAGTTGTTAGCCTTACATGTGCACAGACCAGTGGTAACATTTGAATTTGATAGGTTTCAGAGTGGTAGCCATGTTAGTCTATCAGCGAAAAGAACAAGGAGTACTTGTGGTACACCTTAGAGACTAACAAATTTATTTGGGCATAAGCTTTCGAAAGCTTATGCCCAAATAAATTTGTTAGTCCCTAAGGTCCGAAAGCTTATGCCCAAATAAATTTGTTAGTCCCTAAGGTGTGCCACAAGTACTCCTGTTCTTTTTATTTGAATTTGAGTCACCCTTCTTAACATCTAGATGTCCTGCTAATTGAATGGGCTCTTAAAACTGGCTTTTGTTCTCTAGGGTGACTAGATCTTTCTTTTTACATGATTTTACCTATCAGCATGTTATATCCATCCCTGCCAACAACAGGACATTGAAATTATCTCTGGCCTGGTCTACACTACGGGTTTAGGTCGACTTTAGCAGCGTTAAACCGAATTAAGCCTGGACACGTCCACACAA